TGGATACTAAAGTAGAAGAATTTATTGGTAGGCTATTGAAAAAAAAAATCAAAGGTTAGACACCAAAATATAGTTTTCTCATTGTATGTGACAATTAAAAATATATTAGGACATGTAATTTCTAGATATAATAATATTTCATATTTTCAAATGATCTGTAGGCATTTAAACGGAAATAAAAAATAAAAAATTAGACACCGAATTATAATTTTTTCTTTTTTTCATCAATCCACTGAATTTCACTAGAAATATCATGTTAAACGAATTTACCATTCTAAACTAGACATTGAAATATTAATAAAAATTACAGTTCCATTCTAAATCACACATATAAATAAGTGCAATTTATAAGTCAATGTTCTAAACTCAAACAAGCCCTTGCATTTTGGAGTTGCAATGACTTGTTAATAGTAAGTAAAAAGGGAGTCACATCACATGGTAGATGTGAGTGGTAAAGACGGTCCAAGATCTAATTTGGTTTTACAAATAGATATCCACTAGATTTTTTGCCCGCGTTACGTTGCGGATATGATAGAATATATAAAATTATTTTAATTTGATAGTCTGTTTTATCATGTAAATGTATAAAAATATATGAAATCAAAGACGAGAAAAATATTTTAAAATTTTTAATGTAATTTGAAATTCAATGGATGAGAATTTTTAAAAAATGACAAATTAAAGTAGTAAATTTTAAATAATAAAAATAATCAATAAAAAACACTAAAACAAAATGGGATCAAACCACAATACAATTAAAGTTTGAAACTAAAAAAATATAACTTTAAATTAATTGGATGAGAAAAGAATGAATAATATTAAAATAAATGAAAACTATCTTTAAATTTAATTTTAAATTAATTAGATGAGAATTTGAAAAAAATGACAAATTAAAGTTATCGATTTTGAATAAAAAAATAATTAAAAAATTAAAACAAATGAGCTAAATCACAATACAATTAAAGTTTAAAATTTTTTAAAAAAATTGGATAGAAAATATATAAAAAGAAAAAAAAGAGACACATACACCTAATACACACATAATTTATTGTATAAATTATAATAATATATTTTAAAAAATAAAATACCGACGTTTTAAAATTTTAATTCAAAATTCATGTATGAAAAAACTAAATTTATTAATAAATAAAATTATATAAAAAAATTAATTTGATGTGAATTTTAATAAGAAATAAAGAATTGAAAAAAAATTAAACAATAATATATATATATATATATAAGGTGGGTGGGTGTGTGTGTGTGTCCGCTTGGGGAAGGTCGAGTAGAGCTTGGTTGCAAGCCAACCAAGACAAGCGCACGGTTGGCTTGTGCAACCAAGCTATAGATTTATATTTAAAAAAAAAAAAAAAAGGAGGTGGGGAGGCTAGGCCCGCCAAAAAAAAAAAAAAAAAATCTTGCAACTTCGACGAACCCGAGGTTGTCAAAAGTTCGTCGAAAAATCGATGGTCAACTTTCGAGACCCTTAGAAATTGAATTTCGATATCATTTTTTTTTTTGCAAACATCTTTAAATGATCGGAATAAAGTCGATAAACACATCTAAAACCTTAAAAATTATTTTAATACACACAAAAATAAAAATAAAATAAAATCGGATTTTTTTTCTTTTTTTGGCTACGATTTGCTTCCTCTAATTGTTTAATGGCTTGAAACCACTATGGACAAAGTCATCTCTCAAAGATAAAAAAATCTAGTGGATTTTTACTGGTCAAAGTGGCCTAAATAAGCTTAGCTAGCGATCTTTTTTTCTCTCGACCTTCTCTCTCCACCGAAAGATCAAAATGGATTAGTAAATGGACATGTGGATCGAAATATGAGTTCAAAATATCGGGGATCAAAATATAAAAAAAAATTATAAACAATAAAAGTAATAGTGAATTGTGAGAGAGTGAATAATGAAATATGAGTGTGTATATAATGTTTCAAATAGTTTAGCTACAATGTTTAGACGATTCACTTTAGTATATTAGTTAATATCGTATAAATATTTTAGTAATGTGGGACCCAGAAATTAAGACCTCGTATCTGGAGTGTAGATATGTCGGGACCATGTTTCCGCGTTTCTTGATTATCAAATCAAGGGCTGTTTGTTTGGCTTTGATTAATTAAACATGGTTAATTATACTATACTTAAAAATCAATATTAATTAATATTTGTTGAAATTCGTAACACACGTGTTTGGGTATCATCCTCGGAGAGAATCATACTCTGACAGACTTGCTCATGCATTATTAAGATATTCTTTGTTTTTGGGATTATTAAATGATTTTCTAATCTGATTGATCATCCCATTCAAATAAATTTTGTGAGATCATAGTTTTGGGTTTTGTCATGAGTTTGTTAGATCTGGAAAAACCAGAGCTCTAAAGGTATATAGCCTAAAGACTAGTCATTTATTAAAACAAAAATTGTATTTTTTATCATCTATTTCAAAATTGATGTATAAATAAATGGACTAGCATGCACCGACGTTAATTGAAATTTCGATATCAACATAAACATGACATGGGGATGAACTAACTACATCCCCACATTTATAAAAACTTATAAATTTAAAAATATAGACCACCGAGATATAAAAATTAAAACATATAGGCAAGACAACCAGTTATAATTTTTTTTTTAATAAAATAAAATAGAAAACAAAACTAGTTATAGATTAATATAAATATGCAACAATAAATATAAAACGAAACGGACGGAAAAACCAGTCACAATTAAACAATCGAAATTATAAATAGAATTGTATTAAAAAATGAAATACTTACAAGAGAATTGTTTAAATTTTTATTTAATAGCAGGAGTTATAAATTTTGGGTTTTGTAAACTGACGAGGAGGTTGCTAATTTTGGATTTTGTGAGGGGATTAAGAGGTTGCTCGACACGTGAATTTTCTATCTTTTTAAAAAGAAAAAAGGGTTTGCAGAGAGTTTCTTTAGAATGGAAAAGCTTCATTCCATATATTGTGTTCCAAAACTTTTTTTAATATATGTATATATCACCCTCTCTTAGCTGGATTTACATATAAATTCAAATTAAGATTGGGACAAAATAAATGATTATAAACACTCGAAGGATTTTTTTAAAAAAATATTTATAAATAATAAGATATTTTTAAACTAATTTTTATATAAAGTAAAATTAAATTTACTATTTTTTTTAGCTAGATAAGTGCCTCGCTAGATAGCTGACCCCAAACCCATAAAATCTTCAACAAGTTGGCATGTATAGACATCCCATATGAAATGACTCAACTCTTTCTTTGTGCTTCCACTTCTTGTGGGGCTTCCATATGCAGGATGCCTTCATCTACCATGAACATCTAATTGCATTATTTTCAAAAAAAATAGTGCAATTATCTCCACATTGTCAACTATTATTTACTTTAATATTCGTGTAACTTCACGATTTTGTTCTTACTACTAATAATTAATAAATAAAATAAATGAATCTCATAACTCAAAAGTTTGAAGCTTTTAGCGTCTATATAAGTTTAAAAATACTCTAATACATGTCTAATATAGGATAATCGTGAGATTTAAAGAAATGTGTTTTCAATTTTTTTTTCATGGTTTTATTTGGTAAAACTAAAGAGAAAAGACAGCTTTCCCTTTTATGATCCTATTTCACAAAAAAAAAAAAAAAAAAAAGAGGTGAGCCTACATTTTCAATTTTGAATATAATTGCTTGTAACAAAAAGAAAGGGAAAGGAAATTGGCAAAAACAAGCAATATTTTAAATGCAACTCAACTCTCTCTTTTAGATATTGGTTGCATGGTCCTAAACTTTTGAAGATGGAAGCAAGCGAGGGTGAAGGACTGAGAAAGAGAGTGTTAAAGAAGGTGATTTCTCATTCCTTGACGACAAAGGCAAGAATTGGACCAAACTTTTTAGGTCTACCCTACTCGAAATAAAACACACACATCAACCACTAACCATCCTTGTGGATTCAATTCAATTCTTCACTTCCTTCAATCACTGAAATTGAAAATAGGAAGAGTTTCGTTATTATTATTATTATTTTGATGTTTTTTGGTTTCTACATATAATTTTGCAAACTTCTCACCATACATAACATAACTTCTTATTCATTTATCCGGTTATAATTTGATCCAATTTAAACTATATGTTATAATATATTATTTGAGCACAAAAAACTTTGCGTTTTAAACTGATGCACCAAATAATTCACTCTAATAATAATGTGTTTCAACTTTTTTTTCTTTATATAATACACAAAAAATCTCGTCATTCGCTTAACAATAGTGTTCATTCAAAAACATCTACATTAATCTTAAGTCTCGTCCCTCATTTTATTTTTTAAATATATGTATATATATTTTAAATATTTATATTTTACATTAGAGCTAGTTTTAATTCTATTTTGAATGAAAACGATAATATTTAATTTCTTTTAATAAATAAGATTTTATGATTCGAATATTATATGTTGACAAAAAATTTAAGATAATTAATGAGGATTTATTTCCTGTTGACAAATTGAAAGATTAAAGTAGTTTAACCTTTAAACTAAACCGGCAATGTTATTTACACTTTTTCCCTTAAAAGAAAGAGAAAAATCAACTAACTATGATGTGTCTCTTGAAGCCAAGGCAATTGGCGGCTTGAGACACAATTTTTATAAAACTTATTTTTGTCATTATCATTTGGCAGAGCAAAGGAAAAGAAAATGTCTCTTTCTGCTAATAATGCAAGAAACAACCAACTTTTTTTGACTTTAACTATGCTCACCATTTCAGTGTAGTAGATCTATCTAAATCTCTAAAACCCCTTTTACTCTCTGTCTTTCTCTCTCTCTCTAAAACCCTGCCATGTATGCTAAGTATGGGCTGGCAATGTTTGTCTACTAGCTATCACTAAATGCTGATCTCAACACGCCTATAAAATGAACTACAATTCTTTAAGACTACACTAACACATGCTATGCTGTGTTGTAAACTGTTACACTACCCGCAAAAATGAAAAAGAAGCTGTCTTCGATGGCATCCAGTTTCATTTTCTTCTTCGTTTTGTGTTTCACATTGTGTTTGGCAGGGAATGTGAGTTATGATAGTAGGTCTTTGATCATCAATGGTGAAAGAAACCTTCTTATTTCTGCTGCTATTCATTATCCTCGCAGTGTCCCTGCGGTCCGTATCACTTTTCTTTATCTGAGTTTTTGGTTTTCTTGGTTTTATTGAAAAAAAAAAATGCTGGAAACTAATATGGGAAAATGAAAAGTTTGTATCTTTACTTTAGGATTTGTTTAACTGGCGATTATCTTAATTGGGTTTGGAGAGTTTTGCTTTAAGAGTTTTTCGGATTGAGTTATTGTATTGCTTTATTGGATTCTAAATATTTGTTGAATTGTGTCGTGAATTGCTGTACTGTTTTTCTCTTTTAGAAAGTGCATTTTTGGATGGTAATTGTGCATGGCTTCATTGGATTTTTTGGATTACCAATGTGGATTCTAGATTGCGTTATGCATCTTGGGTTTTGATAGTAAATCTTCTTAATGTGAATGGGTGGTATGTGGCAGATGTGGCCAGAGCTGATAAAAACAGCAAAGGAAGGAGGGGTGGATGTGATTGAAACATACGTATTTTGGAATGTTCACCAGCCTACTTCTCCTTCTGAGGTGAGTGGAAAGACAATGTATAGTTACATGGCAGTAAAATATTTGTCCATTTCTATCTTTGTAGTTTCAATATTGACCCTTTTTTCTTTCTTTCTTTCAATTGGAATTGGAAAATTCTAGTATCATTTCGATGGAAGATTCGATCTGGTCAAGTTTGTAAAAATTGTCCAGCAGGCTGGGATGTATTTAATCCTTCGGATTGGTCCATTTGTTGCAGCTGAATGGAATTTTGGGTATGATTGTAGCTGTCACAGATTGTACCAGCTTTTTGTATGATAATTCCATCCACTGATATCATAAAAACATTTTTGTATTTTTTTTTCATCAGTACTTTTTATTCATTTCTGATCACTCTCCTTACATTCAATTGTTTACAAATAGGGGTATACCTGTCTGGTTGCATTATGTTAATGGAACTGTCTTCCGGACTGATAATTACAACTTCAAGGTATGAAAGATCTTCAGAGTTCAGATTCCTGTTCCAGAACCTTGAATTTATATGTGAAAGAGATGTTGATTTTTTTTTTAAAAAAAATGAAAGTCGATCAAAATATTGATGTTTTCTAATGATTTGTTTTCAACTCTTTGGTGTTTAGTACTACATGGAGGAATTCACGACATATATAGTGAACCTAATGAAGAAAGAAAAGCTTTTTGCTTCTCAGGGGGTCCCATAATTCTATCTCAGGTAAGCATAACAAGGATCTCTGTTTCTAATATTGCTTAGCTTTTCACCCTTGAGCAGACTTCAACATTCAATAAAATAAAGAAATTTTGTAATTTGTTTCTTTATCCTGATTTGAACTTTTTGGTTTGCACTTACGCAATATGGCATGTTGTGGCTCTTTTGGCTGATAAGTCTTAAATTTTTGAAAATTCTCTTAACAGAGAATCATCCAAATGGTTTTTAGTCATAGAATAAGTCTCCTTTTAGTACTATTAGAGGTAATAATGCTACTTCTATAAACAAATATTGCTGCACGTTTCACTTCCTTCAAATGATGCTAGAATCTTAAAATAGTTCTTTTTCAAGGGAGACTTAAATGATGCAATTTTTTGAAGCACTTCCCTAGTTTTTTCTGTGCATAGTTGAACTAACAGTGGCCCACTCTTTTGTTATGTTTCTTTTTGTCATTTTCTTTTCATCTTCCTTTTACTGAGCATCTGCTTCTTTTCCTTTGCATAACTATTGCACCTGATTTCTATTGCAGGTTGAAAATGAATATGGATACTATGAAGGTGATTATGGAGAAGGTGGAAAGCGATATGCTGCGTGGGCTGCACAAATGGCCGTTTCTCAAAATACAGGTGTGCCTTGGATAATGTGCCAGCAGTTCGATGCTCCTCCCTCTGTGGTGAGAGTTTATAACATCTGTACATTCTAGGCATATAAAACTGGGTAAATGGTACTGGTAGATACAAGCGAGTGCACTATTATTCTTAAAAAGGAAATTTTTTTTAACCTTGTCCTACATTTGACTGAGGCTAAATTAAATTTGAGTTGACATGCCATTTTGTATGTGTTGCATCTTCATGCTGTACAACTATTGGTGATTGCTTTTTAGTTGATATCTGAGGGTCGTTGCTTTTCTTTACTCATTTCTTCTTTTTCCTCCCCTTATCGGTGCAGATAAATACTTGCAATTCCTTCTACTGCGATCAGTTTAAACCTATTTTTCCTGACAAACCTAAAATTTGGACTGAGAATTGGCCTGGATGGTAATGTTTAATTCCTCCTCTTGCCTCTATTTTGTTGTATAGAATCTTTGTGAGCTTATGAAAATTTGTTAACTATGGTGATCTAGTCATCCTATGCTTTAGCTCTTGTGAGACGATGCTACAGTAGTACTTGATTTTTCATATATGGGTAGTTTATGTTGTAAATCATCCCATGCTTACTAATGATACACCAGATGATGTAAAAGTTCAATAAATTAGAGAGTAGTGAAATGTTAAGCAGAAATTAGTCTATGTGTATAAAATAGATTTTTTTAACAACATAGTTACAAGACTTAAGCTTCTTCTTAACCTTATATCTCTAAGTTCTTTTTACCTGCTGAAAGTAATCAACATGCATAAAAATAGCTCTCTGAGAAATTAGAGAATTGTCTCTATATAGAAGTCATTTTATCTGGACTCTGAAGGCATAACGATCTGCTTTAGATTTGTAATCAGACACATTTAGTCATAATATTCCTGTGCTTCCAAGAGAGATTCTGTAGTCCAGAACTGCTCATCAATCTTTTGGTTCAGTTGTTGCTGTCCTTGTCTATTCTGCCTATCATCTTATCATGGGTGATCATTGCCTATTCAAGGAGGCCTCTGCTGGAGAGAGAGTCTGTTTCGATCCATCTGGATCGATTCACTGGCTCTTGCATTGTAGCCTTATTGGGTCTAGTATGAAATGCACAGTAACTTCCAAAGCATGTCAGTGGGATCAATGCTCTATCTTTCAGGTTTCAAACATTTGGGGCCCCTAATCCTCACAGGCCAGCTGAAGATGTTGCCTTCTCTGTTGCTCGTTTTTTCCAGAAAGGAGGCAGTGTACAAAATTATTACATGGTAATTTACTTGACATTCTGTCATGAATTCTCTAATGGATTTTCACCTTTGTGTATTTGATCCTCAGTTAGTGTTATGCTTGTTTGATTCTTCAATCATGCTGATCAACTTCAGTTCAAATTTCTTGTTAATGTTATGTTGATTCTATAATCAACACTGCTTTGTCTTCTATGGTATAGTACCATGGAGGAACAAATTTTGGCCGCACTGCAGGTGGACCATTCATTACAACAAGTTATGATTATGAGGCACCAATTGATGAATATGGTGAGTCCTTTTCATTTTCATGTTCTAATTGTCGTGTTCTAATGTTCTGCATCTGCAACGTGAAATTGAGTATGTGCATACCGTCAACTCTATGAGTTTTTCACTTTGCTGATAGGTTTGCCTAGGCTTCCAAAGTGGGGACACTTGAAGGAACTTCATAAAGCTATAAAGTTATGTGAGCATGTCCTACTGAAGAGCAAGCCACTTAATTTGTCACTGGGTCCTTCTCAAGAGGTAGCTTTTTGGTCTTCTTAACTAGGGCACAGATCCCAGTTTACTTTGTACTAATTTGGCTTCCATATTAGCTGTAGTTGTTAAATCCAAAGCGGGTCAATGTATAAATTGATTGATGGCTTGTCTGGTGAAGATCAAGATTCTACAAAATTTCCTGATGAACCAATCGAGATTTAGATGGAATATTAAGCAAAATGATGTTATTGAAATTTGCAATATGTAGTATGCAGAGAAGTCAACTCTGTTTTTGTTGAATTTGCCTCACTTTCTTTTGGATCAGTGTTTGATTTGATTGTACTAAATCACAACAATATGAAAATCTTACTTCAGAATGGGAGTAAATTTGTTGTCTGCATATCATCAGTAGATTTGTGAGCAATCTGTCATTTGGCCATATATTTAGGACTGTGAGTCTGACACAAATGCTAACATGTGGAACCATTATTTCTTCCAATAAATCTAGAAATTGAAATTCATGATTACACTATTTGGTGGATGTGTAAATTCCTGCATTGTGCTGATCATATTTATGTTGTTATGTTTATGCAATTCCTACTTGGTTGTGTTATATGTGGGTGTGCCCGTAAACTATACATTCAATTGGAACCATCTGCTAAATGATCACTTATTGCAGGCCGACGTCTATGCTGATGCATCAGGTGGATGTGTTGCCTTCCTAGCTAACATAGATGACAAAAATGACAAGATAGTTGAATTTCGGAATGTGTCATATCATCTGCCTGCCTGGTCAGTTAGCATTCTGCCTGACTGCAAGAATGTAGTATATAACACTGCAAAGGTAAAGTCTTCATATTATGCAGTGCAAGAATCCTGATAAACTTTTTACTACTAAATGTAGTGTCATCATGAAAAGGTTTAAGATATTTACACTGGAGTGCAGAAATCTTTTAGTGCTGCACAAGGTGTAAGATCTTCTCATAAGGGTTAAGTACCCAGACAGTAACACAATTAGGATACATTTCAGCCTATGAGCTATGCATCAATCCTAGTTGAAATCAAATGCATACGATGGCCAATATATGGTTTGCCCCTGTATTCTTATCCTTTCACTGATGTGTGACAACAGCACTTCTACAATGTTCATCATTCCACTGAAAAATAAAATCAGCCATGGTTGTCACTGCAAAAAATTGAAATGAAAAGCTTACATAGCATGGTTTTTGGCGAGGCTGAGATACTGATAATGAAAGCTTCTCCTTGTGGTTGACTATAATTCTAGTGGTATTAAAATATATGGTGGAAGTAGTTGGTAATGGCTCACTGCAAAGCAAAGAAAAAGAACAGATTACAAAACTACAAAACATCGGGCATCCATCCCACCATCAGACCAAAAAACACCAGTAACTATTTCGAACTAGCAGATTAAAAAACCAGGCAGTTATTCTATTGTAACAATGAAATTGGCTTGTCCTATATTCTGTCACACCATTCTTTTTCTCAATTAGGCTCTGCGCTTGTGCATAAAACTGTAAACAGGTAACTTCACAGACTGCTTTAGTTGAAATGGTACCTGACAATTTACGGCCAGAGAAAGCCTCTAAAGCTCTTAAATGGGAAGTGTTTGCGGAGAAAGCTGGGGTTTGGCAAGAACCTGACTTCATAAAAAATGGCTTTGTGGATCATATCAACACAACAAAAGATACTACGGATTACCTCTGGTACACAACAAGGTTGGTGTTGCTCTACTAAAACTAACAGCCCAGATTATTATTTAGATGCTGACTCTGCTATGCTAATATTATCGATTACCATGTGGTTTTAATAGTTTATTGGACATGATGAAAATAATACCTATTAAAGACATTGTCTGTGCGTGCGTTTCCTTTTCTCTCCTTAAGGAAATAGAATTATTTCATGTAATTTCGTTATCCATAGATCAGGCACTTTATTATGTATGGTATATATGCTTAGAATGCAAATTCTCATTGAAAAATAAATTGCATGTTCAACTAGTGATTTGACCGCCATGTTGATGTGCTACAAATTGTTTTGGATGTTAACTACATCTACAAGATGTGAATATGAATGACAAAATCTGTAGGAGTGATGGTCTTGGGTGGTTCATGTCACTTCAGTTCTTTGTAGGTCAACAAGTGGTTCTCCTTGATCTTTTTCTGGAGTCTCGTCTTCTCCTAATCTTCAAATCTCGTACTCTACTCAATATTGAAAATCAATTTAAATCATCATTGTTATCTTGCTACCTATTTTCTTAATATGACAAGTTCAATTGATATTGAATCATAATTCCATCATTTATATGTGTGCATATATGTATGGTTAGACAATGAGAAAAAGAAGTTATTAATCATGTCTGGAGGACTGGATTATTCCTATTCAAATGTGATTAACATGTAGAAAAATGATTTATTTATTTATATAAGAGGTCTGTTATACTGTAAGATTGGTTTTGAGCCTAATTGAATTCTTTACTGGCAGTATGGTTGTTGGTGAAAATGAAGAGTTCTTAAAAAAGGGAAGCCATCCAGTTCTTCTTATTGAATCAAAGGGTCACGCTCTCCATGCTTTTGTGAATCAGGAACTTCAAGGTTATTATCTGGTTCTTTCCACTTAGGAGTAATTTTTAAAAAAATTTTTTTATTGTGATTCTCTTAAAACCCGTTGGATAAATTTCAAAATATGCAATTACTATTCCATTTTTTCCTGTGTACCACTATATTTTGCATTTGTGCTATTTTTATATTCACAGCTAGTCAACTGTGATAGCTTGGTAGGAAGTCTTAGCATTTAGGTTCCTCAATATAGTATGTGGCTATGTTCTTTTCCTATAGTTAGGTATACGTACTTAGATTGTTTAACCAAATTTTTAGTTCTTTCTATTGGTCTACTGGGAGGCTACAATCTTTTGTCCATCAAGATTCTTGCTGGAGGATTCTGAAGAAGTTATGAATTGACCTATGGTACTTATGGACTCCCAGGCATTCTTTAACATTTGTGAAAGATTACACTCATCTTGCTTAGTTCATCAATCTGATCTTCTGATTGCTGAATTTGGAGATCTTCTCCTTAATAGCATATGAGAAAATAAGACAGTCTTTCCTGGAAACTAGAGCCCACTCCAGCTTTTATTTACTTAGCTGTAATTGATGCAGCAAGGATGGACAAACAAGAAACTAGCGATTATCAAAAATGCGGTACCTGAAAATTGACTTCAAGTTCTAATCACTGAACTTGTTCTTGTTCTATAAACATTCAAGGAACTTAAGTAGGCACAAACTACTCTTTGCTCAAAGTATATCAGAGGAAGAAGAACTTGGGGTTCTTAGTGTTAAACTATGAAGATTTATTATGCTTGCTATGTTTTACTGCATTGGAGTTGCATTACATCAAATTTTTTTTTCTTTTTCTTTCTTCTTCTTCTTCTTCTTCTTTTTTGAGGAAGTTCCATTAAATATATAATACAATGTTCTTCTAGGTTTATACAAGCTATTACCAGCAATTATATTACTATATTTTAATTGCCAATATTCAGGTAGTGCATCTGGAAACGGCACACATCCGCCTTTCAAATTTGAGAATCCTATATCTCTCAAGGCAGGGAAGAATGAAATTGCTCTCCTAAGCATGACTGTTGGCCTACAAGTGAGCTACTTTTATTAAGTTACTTTTTATTTAAATGCCAATTCACATTTGCTGAAGCCTTTAGGTTCTATACTGTCATGCTGCAAATTTTGTATCTGTGATGAAGAGCAAATTTGAATTGCTGGTTTTTTGACTGTACTGGTTGCATTTCAATTTAACTATTAGTATTAATCTCTAGATGTTAATTGCATTTGCTACTTAGTTGCTTTCAAAAGCATGAAAAATTTGGTCCCGTGCGATTGTCATTTATCCTGAGATGGAGTTATGAATGATTTATCTTGTAGTTTGAAGGATATGCCAAAGGCCTATCATCTTTACCTAGACACAATCCGTGCCTCATTTAAAATGTTTCTAATTTAATGTGATATTCAAAAATATTGGCAGGCATAAAACTTGTGTGGAAACCATATGCTGTTGTGACATTATCTTAAAATTCTTATATTGGTAGTATTATCTAGAATCTAGGTCAACGGAAATGGAGTCCAATCAAAGTTTCAGGTATTTTCCCCTTTATGGATTCATCTCATGCCTAGTTATAGAAGTATTCATTCTCTGGTCCGTGGACTTCTGGGGAAACAATCTGTGAAACCTTCTTTCATAGAACATCAGACATTGGCTAGTACTAAAAACTGGACTTGCTGTATGAAATTATTTGTGGGGTCAAATTACTATAAATCAGCATATATATTTGAAATCATTACAAGCTTAACAGTAATCTTAACGTCTTATTCGCAAATCAAAGCATGCTTTATCTTATCATTTGTTTGGCTTAGTCAAATTCAACAATCTGAAGATTTAATACTCCCTTTTGTTGCTTTCAGAACGCTGGCTCATTTTACGAATGGGTAGGGGCTGGACTAACAAGTGTTAAGATTAAAGGATTCAACAATGACACTATTGACTTGTCTAGTTATAACTGGACCTATAAGGTATTCTTCTTTGCGAATATTGACTTTGTATGTCTGTCAGACAAAAACTGTCATAATGTGTTTTAATATATAGTTTTTGCTCTTTGGTTAAGAGAAAGCAACTTTCTTCATTCCATTGCTTTAGTTTAGGTAAATAAGGTTTCCCTGAAAATTTTCACTTTAAACGTGAATGTGAAGTAATACTGTATACAAAATTTCAGTAAACATGAATATGAAGTACTGCTGTATGAAAATTGCATCACTAATCCTTAATTACTGCTGCAATAATCAATTTGTCTTAGAATATTTTATGTACTTTTCCTTGGAAAATAATGAGAGAGGAATTCCAATTAAAGAACATCTAGTCATTCCAGTGATGTTTATGTTTTGCCTTGTAAGACAAATAGTTGGTTGTTTGGTATGACGATTTCATGTTTGGCTTTTCCTCTTGAAATAACTTTGGGTATTATTGGATAGAAGTTGTAAAAAGGGTCTTCCCATATTTGTTTCTGGTAGTATAAAAATAATGTAGCATGAGGTTTATAATTACAAAGCGCTCATGATATCCTAATGCTGTACGGATCTGAAGGCTCAATCCTTCAAAATTTAGAACTTGAGAAGTAGCAATATGATCTGACAGATGGGACCATATGGCCCATCAACTGTGTTATGTTTCTTCAGCAGGAAGCAGCGTTTGAGAGATGTGGAATTTGAAATAGTTAAATTTGGATTGATATTAATGAATAATACACAGCATTTAAAATTTTACAAAGCCTCTACATTTTTTTCAATCCTGTTTTTCTCCCAGATTGGGTTGCAAGGAGAAAAGCTTGGTATATACAAGCCTGATGGTGTGAATAGTGTAAATTGGGCTGCAACATCAGAACCACCAAAGATGCAGCCTTTGACATGGTACAAGGTAAGCATTTAGTGAAGATCTCTTTCTGCTATGCTAAATGCTTCACTTACTTCCTTTGGAGGTGAAAGTTGACACTGAATGTCCAATTTTTTAATGACACATCTCTAATTAATTTTGAATTTCATAGGCTATTCTGGACCCACCAGCAGGGAATGAACCTGTTGGTCTGGATATGCTTCATATGGGAAAGGGTATAGCTTGGTTGAACGGAGAAGAAATTGGAAGATATTGGCCCAGGAAAAGCTCTGTTCATGAAAAGTGTGTTAAAGAATGTGACTACAGAGGCAAATTCATGCCAGACAAATGCTTTACTGGATGTGGTCAGCCAACCCAAAGATGGTAAACGGAAAGTTGATAGATTTCTTATGAGAAAGTTGAATTTTTTGAAGTGTTTTGATCCTTTTCTTTAAATTGCTTCACTGCATCGTAATGGACATCAGTAGAACTTAAAAATGATTAACTACTGCCCTTGTTGCAGGAGTCTGTGCAACAAAATTACAAAATTTTGGAAGTTGTTTTCTTAACTATCAACATGTTGATTAAATTTATATAACTTGTAACTCTACCAAGTTTCCAAAGGGTTGATAGAGTTGCTGATCCTCAGATTTTGGAAATATTAGATCCTGTAGATCTTAAGCTGTTTGTAAATCTTAAGCCCATCGATTCAGCTCAGAGGCCCTTGTGCATATTTCTAAGTCAAATCTGAATTTTATGCACCCACATGATTGTCAATATCTGTGGAATAATTCACATTACTTCAGGATGCTATATGACCTAGTTGGTCCTCATGAAAATTATCAGTCATTTTGTTTCCATTTTCTGTTTCTGGTAGAAAACAACAATTATCATACATGCATGACCAAGGAATTTATTTTGTTGTTGCAATGTCAGAAAGTTTGCCTTCTGTGTTCCAGGTACCATGTTCCACGTTCTTGGTTTAAGCCATCTGGAAACTTGCTGGTGATTTTTGAGGAGAAAGGTGGAGATCCAACAAAAATTACATTCTCGAGACGAAAAATGTCCAGCATATGTGCTCTCATCGCCGAGGATTACCCCTTGGCTGATCGAAAAGCATTGCAGGAAGCTGGAAGCAAGAATTCCAATAACAAGGCCCCTGTCCATTTGAAGTGTCCCCAAAACACCCATCTATCTGCAGTAAAATTTGCCAGTTTTGGAACTCCGACTGGAAAATGTGGATCTTACAGTGAGGGAGAATGCCACGACCCCAATTCCATTTCTGTCGTTGAAAAGGTGTCGAACATAATGCCTTCTTACTTCATTCTACTTTTTTCCGTCTGACAAAATGATTCTTTACTTCATCCTTACACAAAAACGAAAATTAAAGAAAATGCTGCAATTTATTTGAGCATAAACCATGATTTCTTTTACTGACAATACTGCATTGGAGATATTTCAGGCCTGTCTAAACAAATCCGAGTGCACTGTAGAACTAACAGAAGAGAACTTCGACAAAGGTTTATGTCCAGACTTTACCAGGAAACTTGCTGTTGAAGCAGTGTGCAGCTGAAATTAGCAATTCCAGCTGTAAGAAGTAAGAAGATCCAACCACATAGCATACAAATTTACATGCTTAGCTAGGGGAAAAAAATACAAAAAAGGCGGATTATTTCATCCTCCATAAGTTTTTTTCTTAATCTTTCTTGACTTATTTGCCAATGTAGCGAGAAACTGTACTGTATTTTTGTTTTTGAGGTACTGTGTGAAACAGGCAGAAAGCCAAATGCCAATTTATTTGAGGCATTCAATATCAATCAATTTAATCTATCACTACGATATCCCAACAATTGAGAATTTTTTTTTATTTTTTATTTTCCTACAATCTAGTTGTTGATTGATTTATGACATGTGAGGAAGAAAAAAAATCAAAACACCCTGTGATGCACTTCAAGAATTTCCATCAAAAACAGCTAAAAATTGAAATGCAATTCAAAGATTAAAACTAAGTTCAATCAATTAATATGAAAGAACTTATAAAAATCCATGAATTTCTATTGGAAAAACAAAGTTACAAGAATTATTCAATTGAGAGGAAACACAAGAACTAGAGAGAGTCCCCAAGTTTTGTTGAACAGCTAAAATGGCTATTGTTACTTGATTTTAACAGCCTCTCTAGCTCTGCATAGCAAACTATTGCACGTGCCATGCTTACCTTCACTTAATTTTTTCCCACGGGATATCCATTCGTACAACACTTCCCTAACTAATTAATAGTTGACTTGTGTTGACCACTTCTCTCTCTCTCTGCAACTCTTTCAATTCCAATAATATTAACCTCTTCCCTCTCTACAATTCCTTCAATTCCAACAGTCCTCTTTTTACACCTGCATTAATACCCCTTGCTTGAGAGACTTGAATCTGACTTCTATTGCAGATCAGATTTTTGTAACTTGAAACCAACCACACAAGAGTACTTTGTTATCTGCACAAAGATGCCTATCTTTGTGGTGTTGATAGCTTGACAGATTGCAAACCATTGACTTTCTACATCCAGCAGTATTAAATCTCCACCAATTAACCATGGTTTATCTACATACTGATTATACTTCAGCTCAAGCAAATCCTTAACCCAATTTTCAGCTTTGAAATTTACAAATCTCACAGCTTGACAACTAAATTTATTAGATGCTACAGTCGCTGTGAAGCTGCATCTACATACTTCTCTTGAGCCCCAACTTTCAAGATCAAAGCTAACATAAAAGACACAATACCTTTCTAGGTTTGTCTTCTCACACAATACAACAATTTGAACCTCACAATCATCACAACATTGTTGATTCTTAATATCAATTAAATGCTCTTGTTTAGTTTATCGATAATATTGAAAACAAATTGACCCTTATCTTGATTAACCACAACATCTTCCATTTTTTGATAATCCTATAGCAGCAAACTTTCACCAAATTTATTCTCCATGGATAGTTCAGTTTTTGAACATTTCTTAAACTAAATTTCAATAGTTTCTTTGTTATCAAACCTAGTGTAGTTAGTTCCTAACGAAAACCCATTCAAATTATGATTTTTAGCAAATAAGTCAGAGCATGGATCATCTTTATCACATATTTCATCAAACACCATACAATTAATCAAATCAAAATTTTATTTTATATCAATTTATTCTAAACCGATTCTTAATGATTGTTAACTTCATTGACATTTTCAGTTCCTCCATTATTAACACCATTATCTAGCTTAGTAATTGTTAGAATACATCCCACATTGAATAGTTAAATCAATAATAAATAATATATAAAGTTAAGAATGGACCACCCACCATAAAGCCTTAAATCTTTTGGATGAAACCCAATCTCAACTATCTAACTTTATATGGTATCGTAGTCTCAAAGAGACCCGACGGCTCAACAAATATCTTAGAGCCCAAGCCACTTGACGGATCTCAAAAGATACGTTGCAAATGAACATATTATTGCATTTATCGAAAGCTCAAAAATTATCTTAGACAAGTGAGTAATCGATTCCTCCATTTTCTTGAGTTTAGTATTCCCATTCACCATTCTTGATTGATTATTCTAATTCCACATATGTAAAGACTTGCTCCGCTGTTAATTGATGCACTTCAAGAATTTTCAACAAGACAAGCTGAAAATTGAAATGCAATTTCTAGAACAATTCGAAGATTAAAATTGAGTTCAATAAATTAATATGAAAGAACTTACGGAAATCTATGAATTTTTATTAGAAAAACCAAGTTACAAGAATTCAGCAGAGAGTAAACACAAGAAGAACTAGAGAGAAAATGCCTAAGTTTTGCAGAACGGCTACAATAGCTATTGCTATTTGATTTTAATAGTCTCTCCAGCTTTGCATAAAAACTGCAGCTCGTGCCATGTCTGCCTCCACGTAGTTTTTCCCACATGATATCCCTTCGCACGAGCAACACTTCCCTAATTGATTAATAGTTTACTTACTGACTTGTGTTGATCACTTCCCTCTTAATTTATAACTCTTTCAATTCCTACAGCATTGACCTCTTCATTCTCTGCAATTCCTTTAATTCCAACAATCATTTTTACACTTGCATCACCCCTGATTCACCATAAATTCCAACCATGATTTGCCTAGCACCAAAGGAAAGTATGATCTATACAGCATAATGCATGGATTGCTTTGAGTTATAGAATGCCTTATGGAAGATCTCTTCAGGTTAAGAATCTACGTCCATATACTATTCTAAATTACATTTTCCCCCTTCTTATTAGGATTCAGATGATAACTGATGGGGTGGTAGCTTGTCTTTGTTCTCGTCCCATAGTTGCAGTAATCGTGATCCGTAGTTCCTTCAACAAGTGTTACATCTAGAGGGCCAGTATGCAAATATTCATTATTCTCCATTACTGTGCGTTCCTTATGTTTAGTTTCAAGCATTATAAAGATTACAATCATGTTTTCAAGCATTGTTAAAGTTTTAGGTTTGCAATTCTTATGTTGCTGTCTATATTGCAATCTTTCTTTCTTAATGTTTTAATCATTTAAACATTTAGTGTTTATTTTGAATTTTTTATTTTGACAGCATATTAGCATAGATAATAGAATTCATAGTTTAGATTAACTGTTGTTATATATGAATTATTATCCTTATAATCCTATAACTCAATCAGCTTGAGTAGGTCTTGAACTCTTGTCAAAGATTGTCAGACCAATTGCAACCTTTCTAGTTTAGTTCGTTTTTAAGACAAAACACCAAAAACATCATTAGAACTAATAGTAATTATTTAGCATACTAAATTTGGTTCATCAACCTACGAGCGTGAAAGATAGACTGCATAGCAGACTACTTTCTAATCAGTTTTTTTTTTTTTTATCAAGAACTCAAAGAAACACATAATTGGAGCAACTTAAATTAGTTAAGGGAAAACTTACGTGCTAGAAATTAGCCCAAAATTCTACAAAATAAAACATGCTATAGAAAATTCTCAAAGTTTGGTATATTTTTAAAGAGGACAAGTTTGTCTGTCCATGACAAATTAATAGACAGAATACGTAGTCAAAAGCATAGGGTATGAGTATGTTATTAAAAATTGAAGTTAGATGTCATCAAGAGAAAAAGCCTCAAAGTTAGGGTTTGGCTTGCTGGTTCAGTTTGTAAGAGAGTTTTAATTAGTAAAAATATTTGTTTTTGAATCATTTTCTTGTGTAATTTAACTAACTAAGTAGAAACTAATAGGAGCTTATTGCCTATTTACGGAAAAATTATCGAAAAAAATGAATCAAATTTAGGTGGTTTGTGCCAACAATCAATAGCTTTTAGCTGTAAGTTAATTTACATCATATCTTCACTGGAACACGTTGGGATGCAACATTTATATATTCTCTATTCATAGCAAGTTTTGTTGGATGTCACTGTTCCTTTAGTACTATAAATGGGGATTAGGTTTTTTAGCTAAATGGAAGGCATTGAGAAATTCCCAGATAGTTCACAGCTAGTTTTGACACTGCCATGAGATGCAGTTGGTTAGTAGTTTCAACAATATTTAAAATGAAAACTATTATAAATAAGCATCGATCGTTCCAAACCACATTGCTCACAACACAATAACAAAGTCAATTTTTCATTGTCATCCTTATCCCATTACTTTCATCATCTTCATCAAAATAATGAATCCTACAACTCGGGCCTCATGCCTTTATTTTCTTTTATTTCATTTTATTCTGAATAATTATTCTCATGCTGCACCTAACCTTGGACCCTTCAAATCCGATATTTCCATACCGGCTCTATTTGTGTTTGGAGATTCTTGGGTGGATAGTGGAAACGGAAAATATCTCAACAATTCAGATCCATCTTCTGCATATGGTGTGGATTTTAAAGAAGGCCAACAGAGTAGAGCCTCTAATGGAAAAACTATGGCAGATTTTATTGGTAAGAAAAAAAACACATTTGAAGGGAGACAAGTCATACAATTCAGATAAAATGGTTTGTAAATTCTATAGTTCATCATGTATGCATTGTCTTCTTTTTTTTTCCCATAAATTTAGTGTGTTCTTGACAATTTTCTAGAATTTCTCACTACGTTCCCTAAAAAACACCACGAATTCTAAAATACTAGATGAAGGCATGATGGATAGTAGCTACCAACATCAAATAACGTTAAAGGTGAAAATTATAGAGTTGACAAGAAACATTACCCACAGGTTTAGTTAGTTAGAAGAGATCAAGAAATACCAAGCTAGTATTTTAAGTCTAAATACAAGTTTAATTGCACGATCCATTAATTTTCTTTATTAATTAAAAGGGGATTATAATTTCTCATCGTCGATCTGCTATTTATCTTTGAAATGTTTAACATTAACTGCAGCTCAAACTTTCGGATTGCCATTTCTTCCACCTTATTTGAGTTTGAACAAATCAGAGAGCATTCAATACGGGGCCAACTATGCATCTTCTGGCTGTGGCATTCTTCCTGAAACAAACAAATACGTATATGTGAGTATATATAACTTGAACTTATAGATCACATTTTAAAGTTGAATACGCACAACTTGAATAAATCTTTTGGAGTCAATTTGGTGCCTAGTTTAATTTATACTTGCCAAAATTCATAATTTTTTAATTTTTTTTACCTTTAGGTACGTTGCATGGATTTGGATGAACAAATCAAATTGTTTGAGAGTTCCTTGAAGAATTTAAGAACTTCTAGCGACTTGTCAAAATCTCTTATGTTCGTCAATATGGGACAAAACGACTTGGACCTCAACCAAGACTTGAGAAAAAATGATTCTCTAGATGCGGGAAAATATGTGGCCGAATCATTATCTAAACGATTGCAGGTAAATATATCCCAGTATCATATATGATCATAAAATTAGATTGTATCAGGCAGGACAATTTTGATAACGAAAAGTTAGCTAGACATAATATATATATATATATGTACTAATAATTGATTTCTTTGGTTGGATATGTATGTAGAGACTCTATGATCTTGGAGGACGCAAATTCTTAGTGAGCAATTCCCTTCCTCTAGGATGTAGACCATGCTCGATAAAGCAACAAAATCCTAAGACACCTTGTGTAGAAGGATTGAACAAGCTGGCGTCCCAATATAATAGCAACCTTCCTCAGATACTAAAAGACTTGGAATCCACTCTTTCGGGTTCTAAATTTGTTCTGTTAGATGTCTACAAGGTTTTTGAAGATGTCTTCGCAGCACCTGGCTCATATGGTAAGAAAACTATTTGTTACAACTATTATCATTAATTCATATTGTTTAACATATATTTATTTAGTACTATTTCTCTACACATCTTAGTTAGCCATTTTCTTGCAAATGCCTTGCAGGAATAACTGATATAAGCCATTCTTGTTGCTATGTACCCGGGATCTTCAAACCAATTTGTGAAAATGGAGAAGTATGCGGCAACCGAGACCAATATGCTTTCTTTGATGCAATCCATCCTACTCAAATAATGTATTCCATAATGATAAGTCGTTGCTTAAAAGAGTCATCTATATGTAATCCAATCAATTTGATGGAGCTAGCGAAAGCTTAATTAATTCATGAATCATATATATATTATATGTAATCCAATCAATTTTATGGAGCTAGTGAAAGCTTAATTAATTCATGAATCATATATTTTATGTAATTCTGTCTTTATTCTAAGACTCTTTTGTCAACAAATGTATCATGTTTCTAATCCAATTACTCTGATGGAACCCACGAAATCACGAATAGAAAAAAATTACAAACATTTAAATAGAAAAAATAAGATAAAAGTACAATAAAATGTTTATACTCCCATGGCAAATAGGCTAACATAATATGCGTCAATTTAACAAAAATACTTAATTATAAAAATTTAAAAATTCACATATATAAATAAATAAATAAATAAAAGTTGGTACCTTTAAATAAATAAAAAATTAACGAAATAAAAATAGAAAATCAATATAAAAAAATATTTTTTTATTAAAATATATATAATAAAACTTGAAAGGGTTAATTCTTCTAGAAACACTTAAATCCTACTAACTTCAATTCTTACCAGTAATATTTCTTTGTCAATACTATATTAAATAGAATCAAAATTCAAATTAATTTAATGCTATCTTTTATTCATTTATTTATTTGTTGAAACCTCCACCATTCTTATATCTCTCATGTTTTCTTCTTTATTTGATATTGTCATCAAATCAAATAGCACTTTTGATATGTTCAAATAATCACAATCTAGACGATTTTAAAATTGTTCTAGACTCAAGCTATCATTTCGTTTACATGGAATTTCATTTTTTTTTCCCCTTCAGAATCGTTGTTGAAATTTTCTAATGAAAAATTGGATAAAAAAAATATAGATATAATATGCTAGTGAGAGAGTGTATGAGAAACAATGATAGTAGTAGTTGATATTTTTTTATTAAAAAATATTTTTATCATAATTTTTTTTTAACTTAATTTTTTTCTTGTATTTTCAAAAGACAGCTATATAGTATGGATGAAATTTTTTTTTATCATATTTTTTAAAAAATATTGAAAAAATATCTTCTTTAATGATTTTTTTTTCAGTTTCAATTTTTTCATTCTTACTTTTTAGCTTATATTAAAATATTTCTTAAATTTTTGAAGAAAATTGAAATTTGCAATGAGAGGAACAAAAATAAAATATACACAAACTAATTGAAACAAATAAAAAATTTTAAATGAAATTGAGAAAACATATAAATCTCATAAGGACAAATTGAAAATTATCCTTATTATTTTTTTATGGTTTTAACGATAAAGGTATATTCAAGTTAATTTTTATATGTTGAGATAAAGTTCTTCTCTCTAATTTATATATTAAGATAATAAATTTATTCTTAAGCTTTCACATCAAAGTGAAATCGAGTATGTAATATCCGAAATTAAATTCTATGCTTTGTGAGAATATTTGCTTTGTTAATTATGCTCATGCCATGTTTGTGTTATTGATGATAAATGTTTTGTTAAACAAAATGTTTATTAAGTGTTATGTGCAAATAGTGAATTAAATGACAAGTGAAAGACTAGTAAATATATTTTAATTAAATGATTTTAATACATGTATAACTTAGAATTAAAACATAATTTGTGACCTAAATATGTATTAATCTAGAAAAATAATACTCGATTAGGTGTTCTACCTAAATTAAAATGTCTAAGGCTCCGTTTATTTGGCGAAACAAATTCCAAAGGGAAAATCAATTTTGGAGAAGCTATTTTCTATGAAGTTGTTTTCTAAAAAAATATTTTTTGACGTTTGGCAATTACATGAAAAAGCTGCTAAAAATATATTTCAGCCGTTTGTTTGATACGAAAACTGAAACATAAAAATAGGCTATGATTGTTACATCAACAAGTTTTGAGAAAAATTTAATAAGGTATATTCATAATCTCACAATATAAGATGCATTTAGAAAATTTTACTAAACTTTTATAAATTCCGACTCTAAGATTTAAATTCAAAAAATCAAAAAATAAAATGTATATTTTTAACTATCAAACCAATTTATCAAAACTACTTGAAACAAAATCAAGTCAATATTCACATTTAGTAAAAAAGTTTATAAGTAATCCTAGCATTGTTATTTTGGTAACTCAATTAAGAATTCTTGTTTTTTTTTTTTTTGGAAATTGAACTGATAATTTAGTCAAAAAATAGTTTTACAAATTATTAGTTATCATTTGTAGATAATTATTCATTTGGTTTCAAAAGATTAATGTTGGAATAATTTATAACTAATTATTGACTACAATTACCAACAAAATTTTACAATTGATTAAAATTAGTCACAAATTATTAATTTAGTTGCAAATGAATAGTATTGAAAAAATAATATATTTATTAATGAATTAATTAGTTTCAAATTTTTCACAAATGATTGCAGTATTGTAATAATTATTTTCAATCATTTAAGTATAGTTTAGGTGGTGTTTGAGATAATGATAAAAAAAAATAGATATAAATTATTAAAATATTTATTATAAAAATAATTTTAAGGTGTAAAAATGGTTTTTAAGAATATTTAATGTATTTACAAATAAAAAAAACAAATGTTAGGAGAAATAAAAAAAAATTAAAAAATTGATAATAATTGATAAGAAATAATTAAAAATTAATTTGATATATTTTAAATAAAAAGAAGACAGAAAAAATTGTTAAAATATATTAAGAGAAAGACGAGTAACATGAGAGTGAGACAGACTTATGAGAGAGAAGAAAAATATTTTGATCTTTTTTAACTCGAAAAATACTTTTTCAAAAATACTCTATCATTTTTTGTTCATTGAAAATCATTTTCGTTGAATTTTTTCCTAAATGTGAAACAAACATCAAAAAATGAGAAAAACAAGTTCTAGACAAACACATCCTAAGCATAAAACAACCATTTTATAACATATAGCTCATTAACGGTATTTTGGATCAAAAAATTTGGCCAAGAGAAAAAAAATAAGAAGGGGAGGTTTCACTCGAGCACTGCATTTTTCTTCCACTACCATCTTTAAAACTAAGTTATAGCAAAAAGAGCTAAAAATTGAAATGCAATTTCTAGAACAATTCAAAGATTAAAACTAAGTTCAATAAATTAATATGAAATAACTTATAAAAGTCCATAAATTTGTATTAGAAAAAACAAGGTACTAGAATTATTCAACTGAACATCCTTAAAAATATGTTTGAATGACAAAAATGACTAATAAAGCTCATTCCAAACTAATGCCAACCTCCCTTTCGGAAAAGGTGTAATTATATAATTTTAAGGACTCTTAGAAAAAAATTAATTTTATGGGTTTAAATTTTAAAATCAATAATCATTATAATTTATTTTCCAAACACACCATATCATTAAGAGACTGCATTTCTAAAATTATCAACATATATATATATATATATATATATATATATATATATATATATATATATATATATATATATATATATATAATTGATACATAAACTGAATAAAAAATACCATTTATGATTAAACAATTTTACCTTTAATAACACTATTACAAAAACTTACTTTTCTCAATCCTTTTCCTTTCAGCACCACATCATTAAACAAAGCCTCCGAGTCTCTTTTATCTCTTAGCTTTTCAAACATGCTAAGCATCCAAATGCCAAATGTAGCGATAAACTATACTCGTATTTTTGTTTTTGAGGTATCGTGTGCGGCAATAAGTCGAAAGCCAAATGCTAATTTATTCGAGGCATTCAATATCAATCAATTTAATCTATTACTACAATATCCCAACAATTGAGAATTTTTTTTCCTACCTTCTAGTTGTTGATTGATTTATGACATATGGGGAAGGAAAAAAAATCAACACAAACTCGTAATGCACTTCAAGAATTTCCAACAAGAAGAGCTAAAAATTGAAATGCAATTTTTAGAACAATTCAAAGATTAAAATTGAGTTCAATCAATTAATATGAAAAAAATTATAGAAATCAATCAATTTGTATTAGAAAAACAAAGTTACAAGAATTATTTAACGAGAGAGGAAACACAAGAAGGACTAGACGAAACTAGAGAGAAAATGCCCAAGTTTTGTCGAATGGCTACAATGGCTATTGTTACTTGATTTTAACCGTCTCTCCAACTCGCATAACAAACTATTACACGTGCCATGCTTGCCTTCACTTATTTTTTCTCACATGATATCCATTTGCATGAGCAACACTTCCCTAACTCGATTAATAGTTGACTTGTTGACTTATGTTTACCACTTTCCACTTTATAACTCTTTCAATTCCAACAATATTGACCTCTTCCCTCTTTATAATTTATTCAATTCCAACAATCGTTTTTACACCCGCATCAATACACCCTACTTGAGAGCCTTTGTCCTCAAGGTCGATTGGAGAATCTTATGTTCCAATGCACAAGTAACCATTTAGTTCTTTGGCTTGAATCTAACTTCTATTGTAGATTTGTGCAACTTGAAACTAACCACATAGGAGTACTTTGTTACCTATACAAAAAAGCATGTCTTTGTAGTGTCGATAGCTTGAATGATTGCAAACCATTGACTTTCTACATCCAAGTATAAAATCTTCATCAACTAACCATGGTTTATCTACATATGGATTGTACTCTAGCTTAAGCAAATCCTTAACCCAATTTTTAGCCTTGAAAAGTTTGACACTCGAATTTATCATATGCTACAATAGCTATGAAGTTACATCTACATACTTGTCTTAAGCCCTAACCTTCACGATGACAACTAACATAAAAAACACAATACCTTTCCGGGTTTATCTTCTCACACAATACCATAATTTGAGCCTCACAATCATCACAACATTATTAATTCTTAATATCAATTAAATGCGCTTGCTTAGCTTTATCAATTATAATGAAAAAAAAATTTGACCCATATCTAGATTAACCATAGTATCTTTCATTTTTTGACAATCCTATAGCAACAAACTTTCACCAAATTTATTCTCCATGGGTAATTTAGTTTCCAAACATTTCTTAAACTGAATTTCAACAATTTCTTTGTTATCAAACCTAATGTATTTAGTTCCTAATGAAAACCCATTCAAATTATGATTTTTAGCAAATAAGTCGAGCATCGATCATCTTTATCTCCTATTTCATCAAATCCCATACAATTAATCAAATCAAAAGTCATAGGTAATAACAATTTATTCTGATCCGATTCTTGATGATTGTTTACTCTATTGACATTTCCAATTCCTCCACTATTAATGCCATTATCTTGGTTAGTAACTACCTAATCAACCGTTGAACTTTTAAATCCTTTCATAATCTCTTTCAATTTAGCAAGATCTCTATGATGTCATTCAAACACATTATTGCATTTATCAAAAAGCTTAGAAATTACCTTAGACAAGTGAGCAATTGATTCCTCCATTTTTTTTAGTTTAGTATTCCCATTCACCATTCTTAATTAATTCTTCCTCTCCACTTCCATAGGTGTCAAGACTTGCTCTACTACCAATTGATGCACTTTAAGAATTTTCAACAAGAAGAGCTAAAAATTGAAATACAGTTTCTAGAACAATTCAAAGATTAAAACTAAGTTCAATCAATTAACATGAAAGAACTTACAAAAATCTATGAATTTACATTAGAATTATTTGACAGGGAGAAAACACAAGAAAAACTAGAGAGAAACTAAAGAGAAATGCCTAAGTTTTACATAATGACTACAATAGCTATTGCCATTTGATTTTAATAACCTCTCCAGACTTTGTATAACAAATTGATGCATATGTCATGCATGCCTTTACTTATTTTTTTCCCACGTGATATCCCTTCGCACAAGCAACACTTTTCTAACCAATTAATAGTTTACTTGTTGACTTGTGTTGACCACTTCCCTTTCGCAACTCTTTTAATTCTAACAAGTATTGACCTCTTCCCTCTCCGTAATTTCTTCAATTCCAATAGTCATTTTTACATTTGCATCAACCTAAGTCACCATAAATTCCAATCATGATTTGCCTAGCATTAAATGGGAAGTATGACTTATACAAGCATAATGCATGGATTGCTTTGAGTTATAGAATGCCTTATGAAAGTGTTGAAGTCTAAGGTTTTATTTTGTTGTATATCTTATTCTTTTTTAGGAGGAAGCCTTTATATAGGCCGATATACATGGTTGTTACGAGAGATCCTATATTAAAGGATTACATCAAGGCATATAAATCATATTTCCTATAATACATATATCTTATATAGGAAGATATATTTCTTTCCATACAAATCATATATAAATTAGCTAATCACACACTAACACTCCCTCTCAAGTTGGTATGAAGATATCTTCTAAGTCTAACTTGTACAAAGATTTATTGAGAACTTCGGTAGAAACTGCATGAGTTAAAATGTCTGCTAGTCGCTCACTTCATCGAATGAAAGGAATGTCCACTAAATTTAGATTCAACTTCTCTTTGATCAAGTGTTGATCTACCTTAATATGTTTAGTTCGATCGTGTTGAACCGGATTATTAGCTATTTCTCGAGCTACTTGATTGTCACAATATAGTAACATAGGTTCCTTTGGCTTGAAACCTATTTCGGTAAGTAAGATCCTAAGCCATAAAATTTCATATATCCCATAAACCATGCCTCCGTATTCTACTTCGTTGAAGACCTTGTCGTTACATTTTGTTTTTTACTTCACCATGTGATAAGATTTCCCAGCAACAAAAGTAAAGTAACTAAAGGTGGACCTTCGATCGGTGATGTTTCCTACCCAATTCGCATGGGTAAAACTTTTCACTTCCATATGTCCATATCTTTTGATGGTCGGACCTTTTCCTAGAGCTCTTTTTAGGTAACTCAAATTTCTCATTACAGCAGACCATATGATCTTCACTTGGAGAATGCATAAACCGACTTATCATACTAATGGCATAAGCAATGTTTGGACATGTGTGTGATAAATAAATTAATCTCCCTACCAATCGTTGGTACCTTTCCTTGTTTGTTGGTACTTGATTTGGGTAAATAGCTAGACGATGATTCCGAACAATAGGAGTCTCTACTCGGTTTACATTCTAGCATCCAATTTCGGATAAGAGATCCAAGTATATACTTTCGTTATGATAGATATATACAATCCTTTGACCTTGCAACTTTAATTCCCAAAAAATATTTCGAGTCCTCCTAAATCTTTCATTTCAAATTCGGAAGATAAGCATTCTTGAAGCCTTTTCATTTCGTCTCGTGTCATCACCAGTTACAATCATATCATCTACATAGATAATAAGCAATGTAACTTTACAATTCTTACATTTGATGAATAAAGTGTGATCTCGAGTCCCCTTGATGATAACCAATTCGTTTCATAGCATCTATGAACCTCCTAAACGATGCCCTTGGTGATTGTTTTAAATCATACAATGCTTTACGCAATCTACACACTTTTCCACTAGACCGTGGAGTATCAAACCCAAGTGGGAGATGCATATACACTTCCTCTTCTAAATCTCTATAGAGGAATGCATTCTTCATATCAAATTGTCTCAAAGGCCAATTAAAATTTGTCGTCAAGGATAACAAGACTCGATGGTGTTCATTTTTGTAACTCGGAGCAAAAGTTTTCTAATAGTCAATCCCGAATGACTATGTATACCTCTTTGCTACTAGCCTTTTCTTGTACTAATCAATTATCCCATCCGTTTTATGCTTGAGAGTAAATATCCATTTGCAACCCATTGGATTTTTTTCCTAAAGGGAGAGATACAATATTCCATATGCCATTTTTTTTATAGTGCATCCATTTCGGTTCGTATTGCCTCTACCCATTTTGGATTTTTTAGAGCTTCCTTGACCTTTGTAGGTGTTTTTATGTTCCCCATCTCATTCATAAATGCTTGGTGTTGTCGTAATGACCTACTCGTAGAGACATAATGTATGATTGCATATCTCACTTTTTTATTTAGAGAGTATTTGTCGGGTGGTTTTTCATGATTTTTTCTAGGAGGCAAAGAGTAAGATGAAGCAGGCAATAAAAGAGGAGAAACACTTTTAGGGGTACTTACCTCGTAAATATCCATTTGATCTTGAGTGTGTACTTGAGGAAAGGAAGAGGTCGCTTCATCATGGCTATTTTGATGTTCACTAGATTCAACAAAAATATGTTCAAGGTTTTATGTGTGTTGGTCTTGATTTTAAACTCTCTCCGAACTAGATAGCTTAGTGAATTATGGAAGATTAATCCAGATTGTAAGTATCATGTTGCAGCTCCCCAAGGACTAGAGGTGGATTAAGCTCGTATGGAAAAAATATTCCGTTTTGAAAAAGGTCACATCCATGTTAACATACATGTGGTGAGTTGAAGGATGGTAACACTTGTATCCCTTTTAATGAGGATGGAAGCCAAGAAACACACAACGTATCGCATAAGGATCTAGTTTGGTGCATTGTTCTTTTTGTAGATGAACATATGCAACACACCCAAATACACATAGATCTAAGTGCGAGTAAGGATGGAATCCGAACATGCTGAGTAAGTACTTATAGAGGAGTATGAAAAGAGAGAACTCGTGATGGCATCCGAGTTTATAAGATAAACTACATATGTCACAAGCATCGACTTAATAATTTTAAGGAACACTAGCACCAATAAGAAGAGCTCTGTTTGGTTTTAAGTATATGTCAATTTTTATGCTCTACAACACCATTTTTGTTACAGAGTGCATGGGCAAATAGTCTCATGAAGAATACCATTTTCTTGGAAAAAATTTAAGAGTTCAAAGTTAAGGTATTCTCCACCATGTCCGGTTGAATGATTTTAATCGAAAGAGAGTATTGGGTGCAAACCATGTGATAAAAAATTGAAATTATATTTTGCACACCACTTTTGTGTTGCATAGTATATAGCCAAGTCATTCGGTACAATCATCTACAAAGTTAATGAACCATCGAATTCTAAAATTTGTAGTAATTGAGGCGAGTCCCCAAACATCGAGTGGATCAATTCAAATGGGTCATTCTTTTATTAAAACTTGAAGGCTATGAAGTAAAGTGGCTCTTAGCCAAAATGCAAACATCACACTTAAGAGAAGATTTTGAAATATCACCAAATAAAGATGGGAATAGTTTTTTTTTAAATAAACAAAGGGGGTGTGACCAAGTCAATGATGTCATAACTAAATATTCTTTAGATTACTCGTCATTGTGACTCGAACTTGATAAACATGACTCGAAACAACATCATCCACATAGTATAACCCCTCATCTTAGTACCACGCCAAATGATCGCTTGAGTTTGGATATCCCGAAGCAAGCAAAAAGTGGAAAACATTAATACAACACAATCTAACTATTCCGTAATTTGACCGACTAATAATAAGTGATTTGATAGTGCATGAACAAGTAAGCAATTATGTACTAAAACTATTTTTTTTCTTCTCTTTCTTCTTCTCCTTCATCCTTTCTTTCTCTCCTTATGTTTACTTTCTAAAATCCGACCAAAATCACCCCAAAGCAATCAATCTCGTCACTTTTTTGGCCACTCCTAAAACTTTTATATTTCACCTAAAATCGAGCACAATCTATTGATCTACACTCCTAAATCTTAAAATATATTTTTTTCCCCCATCTTTTCTCATATTTTTTAGACTAATTTTAAGTCCTAATCCACTGGTCACAATTAAACCCTCCAGTTTCCACCACTTTTCTTTCAATTTCCAATCACTCACCGCCTTAAATACCCTCTAATTATCAAAGTCCAAGCCTAACACCACAAATCCTTAATTTTTTACTTAAAAAATAGTTTTGGTACTTATCCTTGGCCGAAAGACAAGGTGGTGACTTGCACATGTCTATTTAGTTAAAAAAAAAAAAAATTGACATAAAATTGACTATATACAAGTCACCCTACATTTTTTTTTTTTATATAGTTTTGTTGGAAAATATTGTCGAATAATAGATTGAAAACTCACTTAAAATACAAGAGCATAATTAACTTATTTTAAAATATAAAAATAAATTGGACTCTTATCAAATTATATAATAAAATGCTGGACCTTTTCCTTAAAATAAAGTATAAATTTTTTTAAAAAATGTGAAAAATAGTGAAGTTCTCACTATGTTGGCTTTTCTCTAGATTTTAAATTTTCAAGGGCACATTCGGAAATTAGGAAAAAAAGGGACCAAAGTTGTAATGAGACCACGGTCGACAAGAGGGAAAAAACTAAGTTATAGGTTTTAAACAATGAGGGACTAAGGAATAATCGGGTTCAAAATACAGGAACTAAAGAACAATTTATTCTTTGGAAATAATTTAAATAAAAAGAACCATCCTTTCTTTTCCTAGAGAGTTGAGATAAATCTCTTCCTAAAAATATCCTTCTTCCTCTGCCGCCCCAGCTCACACTACAGCAGAGTTTGGCAAACTATCCAAAGAAACTAGCCACAGATTTGTGCTGCTTATGCTTAGAAGCTCTGACAGTAACTCAGTGAGTTAAGCTGTAACTGAGTCGGAGGGAGCGGCTAAAACAAAAGGCTCATTAATGGCCACCTTATCCATCTCCACAGCTCTTCAAAAACTCACTCTCTTCCCTTCTTCTTCCTCTTCTTCTAGTAAAAAACAAAACCTCCCATTTCTCTCATTTCCAATTTCAATCCAAAACCCTAACTCTATTCGATTCCCCATTCGTCATGCAGCCACCAAGTCCCAAACTGGACCCGTCAAGAAACGCTCCTCTTCCTCTTCTACAGCTTCGTCTAATACTAACAAGAAGAAGAAAAGAAGAACTAAGAGTAGTGCTGGTGATAATTTGAATTTGAGAGATGTTGAAATTGTTAAAGACGATGGAGGTCTTGCTGATGTTCAGGTTGTTGTTGATGATGACAGCGATGATGATTTTGATTCGGATTCGGATTCGGGTTTGGGTTCAAGAAAAGTGTCTACCCATCCAACTACTCCGTTGCCTAAACCGCCAGCTGGGTTTGTTGTGGATGATAGTGGAAGGGTTCTCTTGGCTTCTACGAAGCGGATTGTCACCATGGTGATTTCTTTTTTCTGCTTTCTATTGTTTTTATAGTATTTTTTTTATCTGCTTTAGTGCTGCTTAAAATTCAATTTTGATGTTTTAGTGCTTGTTTATGGTGCCCTTTGCTTTGCTTTTTGTTGGGCTTGCTTAGCTTTTCCTGCTACTTTCATGGCGGTTAAGAAAATAAGAGAAGAAAAATTGGTATGAGTTTGGTACATCGTAGAGAAATGATGCAGGATTTTTCTTTTTCATCGAAGCAAAATAGTTTTTATTTTGCCTATGTTAACTAGAAATAAAAACCCATATTTGCGAGACAGATTCTATTTTGCATCCATCAATTCTGAAGATTCTAATAATTGTTGACAGGCCGATCCCATCAATAATTATCTGTTGGAGTGTGTTATAAGGAGAATATTTAGAAGTTCACGAGGGGATGAATGCATGCTGCTATGTCCAGCTGACACGTGAGTGATTTTGCTGCAATTTGATTGTGCTATCTGATCAAATACTTGATGGTCTGTTAAATAGATTCTATTTTGCAGGCCTGTTCAGATTTTGAAGAGTGTAAATATTGATGGTTGGTCTGCGGTATGTTTTTCTGCTCTTGAATTGTGAATGTTGAATGATCTGAGTTTTGACACTGGAACTTTTTCTTGATCAGTTAGCTTCTTGCAATATTGTGCATCAAATTTTTATTTCTTGAATGGAATGTTAGAAGCTGAAAATTGATGCTTTAAAAAATACATCTTTCTTCCTCTTGCTGAAGGAAAATCCATTCTGTAACTTTCCCCTCTGCATCACTTAAGAATTAAATTCTTAAATGTTTGAGATAGAAGGGAGATGTGGGTATGGAATAGGGGAGATCCTAGGTGATGAATTAATGGAACAAGCTGCCCCTGAAGAACTTTGCTTTCTCCGGCTTGATGGTTTAGGCATTGAGGATAATTACTTCTTAATTTCTGATTTTTATGGAGGAATACCTTCTTTTTTGTCAAGTAATCTGTTTTTCGCTTTCTGTAGTGAACCTCTAACCAATCTTAGTAATCTAGATGTTTCTATGTTTTAGGTCAGTGATGAAGAAGTTGAATCTATTCTTCCAGCTGCTGCATATGCTCTAGCCAAGATACACATGCATTTAGTGCATAGCGGGTAAAATTGAATTTTTAGGCAGACAGAAAACATCTTAAATCATTTTTTTTTAATGTTTGTTTTTGTTCACATTTCCTACCATTTGTTTTTTCTTATCAGATTCTGTTATACAGCAAGAGGAGGATTTTGTTACTCAGAGGATGACATATTTGATTTCCGCACAGGTACAACCCACCTTTTGATATTTAAGCTCATTAAAATTCTGATTTACCTTAGCAGCTGTAGTTTATTATAGAAATGTCTGAGTGGGCTACTTTTGTTGTGGTATTTCTAGAGTAAAAAATGATGTGTCTCTATTGGCATAGTATTCCTGAGAGGTTTAACATAGAATGGGAGCATTCTTGAGATACAATGTTTGTGGCAAATCCTTAAATGTCATGGTCGATTGCTATCACTAATCTTCCATTGCTTATTGGACCTGCCCATTAATAGATGCTCTTCACCATGCATAATGGGTGCATCTCATTGCCATACGCAATATGCTATGCCACTTATGATTATGTTCCCTACATATGTTCTGACGATGGGCACCATGCCTAATGGTATTGTCTTTGTTGTTGATGTTTCCTAGGAATGTTTTGACTTGATTGATTCTTCTGTTTCTAGTACCTGTATGAAATCCTCTCTCTTTTACCCCTTTTCTGTCTTCCTTTTCTATTGATGCCCCTCTTGCATATATTTGGCGCATAGGGTTGCTCCGAAAATATTGGAGGATAAATATGACAACTGATGCAAGTTATTTTCTTTAAGAAATATTTTGCTAAAATGCTGCAGATGATGGTGAAGATATAGATGGCTTGCCAAACGAAGGTGTGGAAATTACATGCTTCCATCTGGTAATGAGAATAGTGCTAGTTTTCTGAATATATATATAAATCTCTTTTTTTCCCCCTAATCAAGGACAAACTTCTGCATGCGTGTGTGTGTGCACAATGTGTTCAGTACTGAGTATATGTTAATGGCATGAAACAAAACTGAGTTGCATTTGCAAGAGTGCACAAGGATTTGAAGGAAATCTTGGTTGCTGTAAAAATCCTTTCTGACTAGCGAACTATTCTTTGGCTATATCTTCTGAAATAGTATTCTATTGTCTTCCTCACCTGGGAGTGTACTCTGTTTCTCTCAAGTTTGATGCAACTTACTGGGGTTTTGCAGTTATGATCTCAAAGAATCATATGCCTGAACTTGGGAATCCCAACTCTTTGTTTTATCTTGCTGTCTTGAAATGAATATTAATTGGAAGGTCCCAAACAAAGAATTATTTGGGTTTATCACATATATTGATTGAAGACTATCACAGTATTACTAAGTTATCCAGGGAAGGCTACTGGACAGATATTCCTCTAGGCTTTGAACAAGCAACCTCTTGGTTTCATGCTCAACAAACTCTTACCATTGCAATGGACAATTCACCATTTAAGGCTCTGTGTTTATATAATATTATTCATTGTGGGTTGCAGTGCCTTCCAATGTTTAGTTTGTTATTTATTCATTTTCCTTTTTCTTTTTGCAGGACGGTGCACATTATATGATTTATACACCATCTGATCCGCTTCTTTTTGTTGCTGTTAAGGTAATGTTTTTAGTTTATTCTTCTCTTAACATGGAGGGATCTACAGCTGCTTCTCTTAAGCCCTATTCACAGTTTCAATCAGTTTACTAAAATATCCCCTTTGCCAACTTTCAAATAAAATCTTTTTGAAAACCTTTTTCTGTACTTGATATAACATGGAGAGAATTCCAAAGATCTTAAGTTAATGTGGGCAAAGAAAGTCATATCCCAAGCAAGAAGTTTCATAAACAAAAGTTTCTGCATCTTTTTGACTCAAACCTATGACGTTTAGGCTCAATCTTGCGAAGAGAGATAATAGAATTAGAGAAATGTAATTTCTGTTCAACCATATAGTAATATTGATATCACTGGTACTGAACACTTTCATAGTCTGCGAATTAAAGAAAGGTAAACTGGATGCTCTGATATATTATTAAATATTTTTGGCTGGAAGGATTAAAATATTTATGAAATTTTAGTTTTACCCAAATTTAATGAAAACCAGCTCTAATTTTATTTTCAATGCTTGATTTCATCTTGTTGGTAGTGAAAAACTGCAAGAAGTTAGTTAAGTTCAAGGGTGAATTACTGTTCAGGAGAAAGAGAAAATGTTAAAGAAAAAAAAAGTAAACTTCAATCAGAGGTTTTTAGCTCAAGAAAAGGGAGTCCGATTGGTCCATGGGATGGAAATGGAACTTACAAAAGTTCAATTATGTTTTTGCAGGATAAGGATGGGCAGTTGCAAATAGCAGATGATGTAAGCAACATAAGTTTCATGATCGTGCTTGTATACTATTTCCTTTTGATTTGATATTGTTCCATTTCCTGCATTAAGGATTATTTTTACATTTCAAATTCTTGCCTCAAACACTCATATACATACACGTACACATACCAACACTGAAAGTACTACTATAAAAGACATGCAGAGTTTTTTGTCCCAGAACTGCAATTTATCTTTTGTATGTTGCAGCATATATCAATATAGTTTTTAATCTAGCCTTAAGGGAATAGGTATATAATGAGATCTTAGTGTGGCCCTTGCTTTTGTTGCCTGTGGTTAGACATGTTAATTGAATGTTGAATCCTTTCTCAACAACTTGATTGTGCATAATTTATTGCTGCCAACCCTTAGTCATAAGAGTTCCTTTCTCTACATGCTAAGCGTTTACTTGAAGCTGTTGATAGAACAACAATAAGATAGGGCTAGAAAAGTTATGTATTTAAGTTTCTCACCAGGATCAAAATTTGAAGGAATAATGGTGCCCTGTCTGTCTCTTGGTCAGCCTGAAATGATTTGTTTAAGCATTTCATTAATGTTCCAAGAATTCTTCTTTTAAAGTTCGATGGAACTACTTGATTAGGTGTAGCTCTTATACTTTCTGATCCCTATCACAGGATCTCTTAGAGGACCCTGCAATCATAAGCGCCATAGACGAGGAGACAGAATTTAATGCGCTGGTGGTAAGTAGCTGCTCTCTTGCACAAGCCACCACACCCTCAGTGAATTGAGTTAAACAATTGAATTTCTTATCGCTTTTTGCAGGAGGAAGAGGCTGCTCTTCTGGAATCGCTGATGGGTGAAAGATGACCATATAGTTAGCATCAACTTTTGTAAACATGAAACTCCACTTCTTCGGAAGCGGCTTTTATTTGAGACTGCTTCAAAATATTTCTCCTAGAACAGAGAAAGGCACAAGAACACTAATTGTTTTTTTGCATCTCTTTTCTGTATATAAAAAAATTTTGTTTGATGTTAAAAATGTTGAAACAATGCATGAATACTGATGACCTTCGTTTTCCTCCTGCTGCTTAACCTGGCAGGTGTACTGCCTGCACATTGCCTATCTCTCATGAATTTGTATGTTCTAATTAATAAAGGAAAGGATAATTCTAAATTCACCAACTAAATTGTTATTTCTACTACTTTTTTCTATATAATAACTAATACATTTTTCATAAATTATCAATAACTATTTTATAACAAATATTAATAGAGGGTATATTGGTAATTTTTTTGAAAAAAACTGGTGGAAATAACAATTTAGTTGTGTTACGAATATTAGTTCATTTAGTTTGGTAAATACATTAGGATAATGCATGTGTTAAGAGCATCTCCAATGATGCTCTTTACTTTTAGCTAGTATTTTTAATGTAAATAGAGAGCATTATTAATTATATAGATTGAAGATCAATATTCTTTCTAATGTCGCTCTCTACTTAATTCTTTATTTTGACAAAATCTATAAAACATAGAGAGGCTATGGATGAAGAGGTTGAGTGTCATAGGAAATAGTAATTTTTATTAATAAAATATAAGATAAAGAGTCATTTGGATTCTCTAGTATTAGAAAGTCAAAAATATTCTCTATATTAATTTTAAAGACAGAGATTGTTATAAAGAGAGCATTGAAGATGAAATTTGGATCAAACCTTTTTATTATAAAGAAAAATCGTAATATAAAGAGAGCATTGGAGATGCTCTAAGTGACAAAAGTTAGTTGTTAAATAAAGTGGTAGCAAGCTATGTGTATTAGTCGGTTAGCAATAGTCAGTTTAGCTTGTATTGCTTAAATAGTTAGATAATTTTCCAGAATTGTATGTTTTAATAATTGATTCTTTTATGAATTCAATAGATTTATTTTCTCTCCCTTTAATTCTTTCTTTTCTTAAATTCTAGAGTTCTTGTTAAGAAATCAATTATGGGACCTTAATAATTGGTATCGAGCTCGACTATTGTGAAAATTCAACATTGAATTATAAGTGGACAATCACATATTAAAAGCATTAGAAGAAACTAATAGAAGACACGAAGAGCATATTCATAAGCTTCGTCAAGTAATTCAAGATAATGTGGAAGCAATAAAGAAGCAAATGCAAGATCGAAGCAAGCAAATACAACTTCAATTTGAAACTTTAATGGTGACAATCAATCAATCTTGGTGGAGAAAGGCATAGGAAAGGAACAAGGATCTTCTTCAAGTTTCTCTCGAGGGCGAACCAAGTAAACAAACCAAGTACACCTAAAGTATCATGATGAGTCAATTCTTTCACTTGAATTCATGAAGTCCGGTTACATTACTTCGTGTCTAGGGTAGATTTGTAGATGTTTAGTGGGCATGAATATGAATTAGGTAGGACAAATAAAGTGGGTGTTGAAGAAAAGGAAAATGTAAAATGTATTAAGAATGAAGACAAATGTGAAGAGAAACAAAAAAGTGAAGAGGTTGTCTGAAAAGAAGGGCATGAAGATGAAGAAGGAAACCGAATTGAGGAATGAGGAGGTGGAGTAAGGAAGGAAAGAAGAATGTTGATGATGTGGAAAAGAATGAAGGTCCTTTAAAGGAGAGGTCGAGGAGAACTAATGAAAAGGTGAACTACGTTGAGATCGATGTTACACTAGATGAGTTAATGCTTTGAGAGAAACGTAAGAAGGTGAGAAAGAAGAATGAAGTCTTTAAGAATGATGGATTGGAAAATGAGAAAAATAGTCAAAATGGCGATGTCAAAGACTTATTAGAAGAAAGTTTGAGGGTAATACGATCAGTAGGGAAATGGATTGTGAATAAGGATGAGAAGCCTTATATTTAGGTGAAGATCAAGGATGAGGAGATTGAGGTTTTCTCTCTGAAGAGACCATTGCTATGATTCCGACTAGGATGAAGGAAACAACCGAGGCATTCCTTGGAAAGAAAATCGAAGATGATGTTGTCACTCTTCTTGCATACTTCAACAACGCCCAAAGGCAAGCCACCAAGGATGCTTAGTGTCATTGTTGGACTCAATGTGGCTAGGATTATTAATAAGCTAACTAATACCTTTGATTTACCTATTATAGTGAATCAATCCTATGAATGGATTGAGAAGGCAATTGTGTTTAGGCTAGAGCTTAGAAACTCGTCAATCTACCGTTAGAAATGGACTTTTGGAGGCTAGAGTTAAACCATATACCGGTTTCAATTTGGATCATGTGGCTAGCGCAAAGACCGGTGGCTCAACCTTTGATGGTTTAGTGGAGGAGGCATAGTGTCGTTGATCTTCTTAACTATGCTAATACAGCCAATATTCAAAGGTGAACCGATGCTATCTTCCGGTGCCGTTGGGAGTCTATAGTTATTATTTGTAAGTGGCATTGATCCAAGGTCTTACCTTCCGCCTATGGGCGTTTCGGTGGCCTACCATCTTCCATATATGGGGCAATACCTCTATGATATTCATCGCAATAGGATCTCAATTGTGCGTTTAATGCCAATGGGGCATTCACCGATTCAATTGGTTGGTATTACTAAGGAAGGAGCTTATCTTGAAGCGAACTTATCTCAATTGTGCCTTTAATGGACACCTTCGTCACATTCTTATCTCATAATGGCCACCTTTATGGAGAAAACTATTGGGTTGTACTCAATCGGGTCATTAAGGCTGGCTTCCACGGACGTTAGAGTGAATCCAATTATGCGCTTCAATGACTTTTCCAATCCCGTGGATGTGTGAATGGCACACGCAAGATTGGGGATGTGTTCGATTTTATTCGGATGGTCGACTTTTGTCGTCGAACCGGTTAACACCCTATGGCATTACCATGGGGATACAATACTTCCTCATTCTTATACTCGTAGTGGCTCTTCCTCCTTTATCCATTCGAGGTGATTTTGGTGTTCTTTCAACCGCCGTAGCTAGATATGCACCCTCTTCACGAATATTAGTTCATTTAGTTTAGTTAAGAATTTACCGAACAATGTTTTCTTACAATTGATTCTTCTATTGGATACAATAGAAGTACTCTCTCTCTTAGTCTTTTCTTTTCTCTTCTCTTTCCCAAATTCTAAGTCTCTTGTTAAGAAATCTATTATTAGACTTTATCGAGTCGATGAATTTAGCAATACCCTAAATAAAATTATGATTCAAGTATGCGAAAAAAAAAAGTTTAGTTCGGGTAAAAAAATAAATCAATTTTGGATAGAGAAAAACTCATTTGGAGAAGAGACCTTGTGTTTGCATTAGATTGACAAACTGAATCTTGTGTAAATAATTTTGTAAATTCCACCTTATAATTGTTATTTTTAAGCAATCCCGTGTAACTAATCAATAAAAATCCATTCGCCTTTTTTTTTTTTTTTTGGTTATTATTTTTATCTCGGTGGGCTTTAACATACTAAATTGAATTCCATTAACAATTTCGGTTGGCTGGATAAAAATCGGTTAAGTATAATAGGATGAATTTGCAAAATTAATTATACAGGATTAAATTTGTAATTTAAACAAACACGGTGTTTCCAAATGAGCTTTTCAAAACCAGGATAATTACTTTGGGCCTACAAAGCTCTATGCAAATAGCCCAAAACCCAACTACAATTCACCTCCGGTTCAAAAACAAATACCCGTTTTAAAAACCCGACCGAAATGATCGCTATTTCTTTTTCCTCTTTTTTCTGCTCACTGGAATCTGATACTGACCTCCATTTCTGCATGCTCTTCTCTCTCCTTCCTCTCCAATGAAACCCCTCAATCCTCTACTCCTCTTCATTTTCCTCCTTTTTATCACCTCCCAAAAAGTCCTTTCCTTCAAACGAGACGAGTTCCGCTACTGCAACCAAGCTCCATTTTGCAAACGCGCCCGTTCTCGCTCTCCCGGCGCGTGCACTCTAGTCCCTCACGGCATCTCCATCACCGACGGCGATCTCACTGCTACTCTCCTCTCTAAAAATGAAAACCAAATCCGACCGTTGATTCTCTCCCTCTCTGTCTACCAAGATGGAATCCTCCGTCTCAAAATCGACGAAGATTACGATCATCCGGACCCACCAGCTCCTAAAAGACGGTTTCAGGTCCCTGAGGTCATCCTTCCGGAGTTCGAATCTAACAAACTCTGGCTCCAACGACTCTCAACGGAAACAGTTGACGGCGAATCCTCTCCGTCAACTGTTGTTTACTTATCCGATGGATACGACGCCGTTTTCCGTCACGATCCGTTTGAGATTTACATTCGCGATAAGAAATCGGGTAATCAGAAATTAATTTCCTTAAACTCTCATCAATTATTTGATTTCGAGCAATTAAGAGTGAAAAAAGAAAAGCAAGAAGGAGAAGATAACGATAACAGTGAGAATAATGGTAGTGATGATAATTGGGAGGAGAGATTTAAAGGTCATACTGATACGAGACCGTATGGACCGCAATCGATTAGCTTTGATGTGTCTTTTTATAATGCCGAATTTGTTTCTGGGATTCCGGAACATGCTACAAGTTTGGCGTTGAAGCCGACTAGAGGGCCGGGAGTTGAGAAAGATTCGGAGCCGTACAGGTTGTTTAATTTGGATGTGTTTGAGTATTTGAATGAGTCTCCGTTTGGGTTGTATGGGTCGATTCCTTTGATGATTTCGCATGGGAAAGAAGGGAGGACTGCGGGGTTCTTTTGGTTGAATGCTGCGGAAATGCAGATTGATGTGTTGGGAGATGGGTGGGATGCGGAGTCTGGGATTGAGTTGGTTAAGCAGAAGAGGATTGATACGTTTTGGATGAGTGAGGCGGGGATTGTGGATGTGTTTTTCTTTGTTGGTCCGGGACCGAAAGATGTTGTGAGGCAGTATACGAGTCTGACGGGGAGACCTTCGATGCCCCAGTTGTTTTCGATTGGGTACCATCAATGTAGGTGGAATTACAGGGATGAAGAGGATGTGGAGAATGTGGATGCGAAATTTGATGAGCATGATATTCCGTATGATGTTTTGTGGCTTGATATTGAGCATACGGATGGTAAAAGGTACTTTACTTGGGATCCTGTGTTGTTTCCAAACCCGGCAGAGATGCAGAAGAAGTTGGCAGCAAAAGGGAGGCATATGGTGACTATTGTGGATCCTCATGTTAAGAGGGATGATTCGTTTAGGTTGCATAAGGAGGCTACTGAGAAAGGGTATTATGTGAAGGATGCTAGTGGGAAGGACTTTGATGGGTGGTGCTGGCCTGGCTCATCTTCTTACCCGGATATGTATAATCCGGAGATTAGGTCGTGGTGGAGTGATAAGTTCTCGTACGACTATTATGTCGGTTCAACTCCTTCATTATATATTTGGAATGATATGAATGAGCCTTCTGTGTTCAATGGTCCAGAGGTACGCCCCTTAGTTACTAAATATATTTCTTTCTTTCATTTTTATCCTGTCATTTATTATATGTTCCTCATTTCTTTACTTATATCAACTGCTAGGTGATAACATGTGACAAGTTTTATATTCTTACTATTTGTTGCCAGAAAGACTGGGAATATAAGTGTTAATGATGATTGAACCTTGTGCTTACTAGGAGAATGCACGTGTGGTTTGTGGATAGATTTCAGCTTCCACTTAATATACTAATATGGGATAAAGACATATGCTGAGAAATGAAAGCTAGTGTAAAATCAAACTAAGCCATTAGCATTGCAATTTGTAGATAGGCTTATTAACCATATTGGATGATGTCTTTTGTGAATGCTGTCTTCAGAATATGGTCTGATAGATGAAATTAAGTTTGGTTTGTTCATAAGTAGATCTTGGAGTACTACCATTCAAGGGTTTTAGGTTAATTAGAGTGAGGTCCTGTTTGCTCGGGCAGATGGAACAGTATTTCTTACAGCAGCAACTATTCTCTGCTTCCGCTGTAAAAGCATCAAAATGATGTTATTACAACCCCAAGATGTACCATACTTGTATAGAAAACGAGGAATTTATTTGATGGCTTAGCTACTTGTAAGAGGCATTTCACTGCCTCTTGTCTATGAACTTGAGAACCTAAATGATGAGAAAAAAATAAAAAATTTCATGGTGGCTACATTTCCCACTTTGTCTGCTATGACTTGCGAGGATAATATTTTGGGCCAAGGCTGTCAGAGAATTTTAGAATTTCTTGGAGTTGCCTTGTCCTTTTTTTCCCCTACTTCTTCAGAGAGTATTCTGAAGGCTTAAGATAAATTATACCATTTTTCACATTTTTAAATGGAGTAACAGGGACAAAAGGTTTTAAATGAACTCAATACCTGTTGTTACCAGATCTCAATGCCAAGAGATGCTTTACACCTTGGAGGCATTGAACACCGCGAGTTGCATAATGCCTATGGCTACTACTTCCACATGGCAACATCTAATGGTCTTCTAAAGCGTGGGGGTGGGAATGACAGACCTTTTGTTTTGTCAAGAGCCTTCTTCCCAGGAAGTCAAAGATATGGATCTGTTTGGACAGGGGATAACACAGCAGATTGGGATCACCTGAGGGTTTCAGTTCCAATGATGTTGACACTTGGTCTCTCTGGAATCTCATTCTCTGGTAAATGCAATTCTTTCTTCTTCTTCTTCTTCTTCTTCTTTTCCTTAATCATTTGTATTGTTTCGTCGGATGGTCATAGTCAATCATTTTGTTATTTCTTCAAACCCCTTCTTCTAGGTGCGGATGTTGGTGGGTTCTTTGGCAACCCAGAGCCTGAGTTGTTAGTTCGCTGGTATCAACTTGGTGCTTTCTATCCTTTCTTCAGGGCCCATGCCCATCAGGACACCAAGAGACGAGAACCTTGGTTATTTGGGTATAAATTCTAACTTTTCTATTTATTCCATTCAACTATGTTTGACCTTTTTTTATAATTAGGCATGAAGGCATCGAGGAGGGTGGCCCTAATGATTGCTATTGGTGTTTTACATTGTTCTTGTGTATTTTTTACTCTTCTTCCCTTGTTTAATCTAGGCTTATCCATTATTTCGATCTTTATAGAGATTAAACTTTATTCTGTCCTTGAGTTCGTGTTATAAATTACAGCATGATAGCTTTTGCTTGGTTATCGTTCTCCCTCCTCCTTACCTATGGGATTAAGTCTATGTTTTGCTATCTATTTGTTTCTTATTATTCTCTTGGTGAGATGGCTAGATATGTATTATTTGTGAAATTCTTGGTCTTGAATCTGTTAAAATTTCCCTTGAATCTACTAATAACTAGCTAATTGAGAGGAGAATTTGTGAAATTGATCTTTGACTTTTGATAAATCATTTTTGTCTGTTTTAAGTCTCCTTTATTGTGGTTTTTGATTCCTTATGGCAAGACATCATGACTACCCAATTCTCTAGCAGGATTAATTAATTCGCAATTACCTTTCATGAGTATGGTTACCATACAATTCAGTCCTCATGCCAATTTATCACAATATAATCTCAAATTTGGTTTTTATTCTGTTAACATAAAATACTCAAATAAGATAAGTTTATAGTGAAAACGTAATCTTACAGCGATTAAACCATAAGCTTTGACTTGATTCAATCAAGAATGATGTTTAGTTGTTCATAATGGGTGTATGTTTAACTTTCCTATCCCGGCCAGTTTTTGTCTATAAAACGTGTAGTTGGCTGCTTTCGCATCTGCCAACTGAAACTGCTCAACTGAAAATGATTGATAGTTGTGTTTTACGTTGTTCTTTTGATAGTAATTTACTTTTATATTTTGTGCATTGATCTTGTGAGCGTGACATCATGTCTGTGATCACTTGCATCATGTGGGAGGGTTTGATTCATATATGGAGCTGTAGTATAGTGTTTCTGGGTAGTTCTGTCTTGGAGCAGTAAATTCAACTGATGCTGCTGATAGTCTTGAACTCTTGTGAATGCCATGCACTGGTAAAATGTCCAGACAGAAGGACTGGACTTTAATATAGATGCTGAGTAAAGCAGAAAAATCGAGAATATTTTGAAATCTGGTGTTTGTGAATCTGCAGAATTTTGTGGTGGCATGTGCTACAAGTCTGGGATAATTTGAAATGTAATAAATTCTTTTTCTATTTGTAATAACCTATTATTCTCCTGGTGTTTTCTTTTCATTGTATTCTTCCGTTGTTTATTTTAAGTTATTTTTATTGTCTGATAACTATGGTAAATGGATGTCCTTTAAATGATTGCAGAGAAAAAAATACACGGCTAATAAGAGAGGCCATACATGTTCGTTACATGTTGCTTCCTTATTTCTACACATTGTTTAGAGAGGCAAACACTACTGGTCTTCCTGTTATGCGCCCATTGTGGATGGAATTTCCTTCTGATGAAACTACTTTCACCAATGATGAGGCTTTCATGGTTGGAAGTAGTATCCTGGTGCAAGGAATCTACACTGAGGTGCTACTGCTACCAAAAACTTTACATAATTTTTATGGATTTCAATGTTTGCCCCTTTTTTTCTCCTCTTCTTTTGTTCCACTAATTTAAAATTCAATGGTTTCTTCCATCCAGCGAGCAAAATATGCGTCTGTTTACCTGCCTGGGAAAGAATTATGGTATGACATTAGAACTGGAGCTTCATACAAGGGAAGCAAAACCCACAAGCTGGAGGCTTCAGAGGACAGTGTTCCTGCTTTCCAAAGGGCTGGAACTATTATACCCAGGAAAGACCGGCTTCGTCGAAGCTCCACGCAGATGGTGAACGATCCTTATACACTGGTATGTAGCTTACAGCCCGATGCTTGTTGGGACATGCCAGTCTCAACTGCTCTTTTACTTTAGATTTTGGCATTAATATGGTTTGTCCTTTGAGTTTTTTTTGTATTTTGCCATACAAGGTAACTTTAGGTTCTGCAGAGGTGGTATAATACAACCTGAATTTGCCTGCTATTCTACTAGTTGTAGCATTGGCTGTCTTGTTGTGGTATATGGACCGGTATATGCATGTCATGGCAGATTTATTTATTTATTATTATTCTTTTTTGGAAAAAAAGTAGGGGTTGGGGTTTGTGGATTTGGGGTTTAACTAAACATCATTCTGAGTTGAGGTCAGCCATTGGGCCACTTCCCCCACTTAGTTCAATGAATAACAGACTTGAGGTTGTTTATGTAGTTGTAAAAGAGGAAACGTGAATTTAATTGCCAATGATCTTTCAGCCTGGGCATCACTGTCTTACAATATGTGTTTGGATTCTCTTCAACTGTTCTATAAGTTCTGTTTGGAGGAACTGTCCAATTTAGCAATTGTTTTCTTTGTCACTAAAGTTTTTGTCGATATATTGGATTTTGCATTCTCCTTTTTTCCTTCTGCATTATTCGACAAATGTTACATTAACAATTTGTATTGTTACATCTGCATGCTGAATCACCCAATCTTAAATTCATTTCAGTCAATAAATAACTGTAATTCCAACATGTTTTCTGGTTTTTTTTTTTTTTAAATATATAATTTCTTCTGTAATAGCATTTGGTAACACTCTTAACTACTTGGGTGATTGGTTCTACCTCTGTTTGGTACAGGTGATAGCTCTGAACAGTTCTAAAGCAGCTGAAGGCGAGCTCTACATTGATGATGGCAAAAGCTTTGAATTTTTGCAAGGGGCTTACATCCATCGCCGCTTTGTCTTTGCAAATGGGAAGCTCACATCCATAAATCTAGCCCCCTCCAGCAGTAGCAAATCCCAATTTTCTTCAAAAAGCATCATTGAAAGGATTATACTGCTAGGTTACTCTCCGGGAGCAAAGAATGCTCTAATTGAGCCAGGAAATCAAAAGGTTGAAATTGAACTTGGACCACTTATGCTTGAATGGGGACGTGGTTCTTCTGTTGTAACCATCCGCAAACCAGCTGTCCAAGTCTCCGATGACTGGACAATCAAAATTTTGTAAGAACAATCAATCGAGTTTCAGAAAGAAAACTCTCCCTGCAGGATAGAAAAATTTCCCAGTTAGTGAACTGCTAATATTCATAAATTCAGATGTCAAGAGAATTTATAGACAGGTTTAACTTGTTCCAGTGTTGTGGAATTTTTACTCGTCACATAAACATAGTATATATAGTCTCTACCGTATAATTGGACACGTAGAGCCTTTTGTTTATTGTTCACTATCTTTGTTTAATTGTGTTAATTACAGATAAAATATAATTCGGGGCAAAAAACACAATCGTTTCCAAGCTACGTCAGCACCAACAAAACAGTCTCGAAGAAATTCATCGTTTTGTTAAATAAAAAAAAAAAAAAACCCGAAAAGATAGAATCTACAGTTCTTTATGTAAGGACAATAAAAATATCATAAGGAGAAACTTAAATCCAACTTGATTTATTATTAAAAAAAAAAAAAAAGAGAATTGTCATATGCTTTGATATTTATTTATTTAATAAATAAAGTGGTCATATTTGAGCTTTTTATGTAAGCGTTTTTATTAATGTGGATGAAAAAATCCAAATATATATATATATATATATATATATATATATTGAAGAATAACTTTATATTGAAAGCAATTAGACTTGTAAAAACAAAGAGGAGAATTTATCTGAAAAACAATTACAAGAATTCCTCAAAAAATTGAAAGACTATTTCCGATTACTTTGATGCAATTTGGGTTATTGTTATAATGATTTCAAGTCATTGATGACTTGTTTTTTTTTATTATGAAAGAAAAAAGTATTTTAGTTTATATAATTCACAGAAAGACAAATTAAATTTGACATAGGTCGTGACAACTGAAAATCATGGAAGAAAAACTCTCTAATTTGTGTCCTAGTTGTGTAACTTTTAGACGTTGAATTCAATTATTTAGTTTGTGGATAATTTGGCAAATTAAATCTATCTAATATGTAATTTTTTAACATTTGTATTTGTTCAATCTGAGACTTATATTTGTTTAGAATTTTTCAAATCTTTCAGCACCTCCAACAATCCTAGAGAACAACGTTAATTAGTTTATATTTTCCAAATCCTTCAGTACATTAATGCATTGGAAAACTATGTGTATGATGGTAATTAATTAATTAAATTATGAAAGCAACATTGATCAACAAATCAGCTAGAAAATATGAATTAATTTAAATTAATTATAAAAACTGTTTCTATTCTTTCCTTTTTTTCTTTTTTTTTTTGGCACAGAAGAGAAAGCAGATCAACAAATTAGTGTTCTGTTATTATATTACTACACACAAACACTAATGAGTTGTTCATAAATTATATAATCGAATTCCACGTATAATAAATCTTTTGAACAATAAAAATTTTGAAACCTATAATAAAATTACTCAATATATCAAATTTTAACAACGCACATTTTTTTTTATAAAACAAACAATATGTATGATTAAGAACATATTTATTTGGTTGAAGATTCATGGTTGGAGATATAAGAGTTCTTGTGTTTGTCTGACAAAAAAGAGAAGAATTAGGGATTTTTTTAGAATTTGATTTGGGGTTTGTATTGATTGTGAATTTATTTTTGAAATAGGATTAGTGGGCAACATGTTATCTATTTATGCCAAATTTTGATTATTCTTTTTTTTTTCACGTGTCATCTTATATGGATTGAAATTCAATGTGGCTTCCTGTATATTATGCCACATCATATGAATTCGAAATTTTGGACAGAAACTCTTTTCGTATTAATATGATTATCAAAAACATAATTCATATATTTTTCATCTACTTTTAAAAGAATGTGCTAATATGTTTAAAATGCGACATAAGTAGACTTAGTTTAGAGGTTGTGTATCTAATTAACTTCCCTAATGAAGCACAGTTTGAGTCTTGATAACTCTAATTTCTTTGATAATTATATAATAGAAAATACTATCTCTATTTTATAGCCCAATAGTTCTATTGGGCCTCTCAAGAATTAAAAAAAAAAATGATTAAAATGTATAAAATTTATGATTTTATGTTACAATAAGTTTTTTTTTATATATAAAACAAACAATATGTACAAAAGCTTAAATAATAATAAAAATTCCCCTAGTAGAAAAACTAATTTTTTAATTAACATTTTTAGTTACGAAAAAGTTTTGAGAAATTCAAATTCAGAGTAGCAAAGGAGACCATGCAGGTTGGAAGTTGAAATGCTCCATCACATGATATAGACTTGTAGCCATAGCTACTTATGTCACTATAGTACAGTTTGTGAATTTCGCCCTTACTTGTCTCCTTTGAACTATCCTAACCTAACCCCGTTAGAAATAAACAACTAAAGCCTTAGCTGTACCAATCTGGTAATATTATCAGCAATAACGTTGAAATCATCATCTCCATCCTAGTTACCTGGGCACTTCCAAAATGTTTCACCACTTTCCTACATTATCCCATCTCTATTTCGTGTTTCTGTACCAAAACACGAGAGAATGAGAGTGTCGTTATATATATATATATATCCCATCAAGGCCCTTGGTGCAATGAAACCAGTTGCTATAATCGATTTGATCTACATGCATCCACAATCACGTTCTCTACGACAAAATGAAAGTAATAATTCTGCCAAGTACAAGCAGGTGCTGATGAATGAATACAAAACTGTCCTTACAGACCCGTGAATAGAAGTTCGGAAGCTGTATTTATTATGCCAATGTCTGCATAAAACTTTATCGGTTATTATGTTAGGATTCACGTCCGAGTTTGAAATTCACCATTTCTTCGTAGAAACAGCATTTACAGCCTATAAAAGAAAGGCATAAACACCTTATCTCTAATCTTGGGATCTAATATTTGATCAGTTTTGGTAACTTTATTCTCCACAGTCCTGGAACACACTAATCCCCATATTCTTGCACCATCCTTTATCATTAGACTTATAGAGAGAAGTAACTATGATAAGGTAATGCTTTTGATCGGTACTGAACCCAACATGCTAAAGTCATCCTATGCATTAATTGCTGTGAAATTTGTTTTTATCACCTATGTCTTCAAATTGGAATGTCTAGTTTGTCTTCTTCTTCTTTTTTCTTCTGGAAAGCTCCTACTTAACAGGATCGGATGAAGTCCTACTTAACAGGATCGGATCCTTCTACTTCATCTCTTATGGACATAAATGGAATTGACATGAAAACAGATTAGCTGTAACTCAAAGTCAATTTTAGCTCCGCGGGTCTTCAAAAAAAAAAAAAAAAAAAAAAAAAAAAAAGAAGAAGAAGAAGAAGAAGAAGAAGAAGAAGAAGAAAGAAGGAGGGAAGAAGCAAGTCAAATTATTTTATATTTTTAAGTATCTTGAGTGAAGCACATGAAAGCAATGGAATGACATTATAATTATATATAAAAAAACTTAAATAAATAAAGGTGAGACTATTCACTTACTGTAGCTCCTCACCTAATCTCGCTATTCATATATTTCTTTGTTGCTTCTTGGCCTCTCCTTCTTTAAGAAATAAATTAATTAGTTTCTTTGATTTGAAAACCTTTTTTTTTTTTTTGGTCTTTTTTACGGTTTTACTATTTTTTTTTTAAGAAATAGAAAAAAATAATTCTTTGAGAAATAAATTAATTAGTCCCTTTGGTTTAAAAACTATTTTTTTTCCTTTTTACCATTTTACTATTTTTTTTTTTTTAAGAAATAGAAAAAAAAGTAAAATATGAAAAAAGATATATAATATTTTTTTTGAAAAAATTATCTCATCAAATTAAAAGTATCTTAGTATTGTATAAAGAGACTATAAAATCCTATGTTGGGTTATTTTAGTGATCCTTATTTGTTCACGAGTAATTGTATAGATTAATGTGGGTGAAAAAAGAAAGGAGGATAATAAAAATAAATGCAGCAAATGGAGGTAGAGATGGTTTTTGAGATAAGGAATTGAAAAGAGAGGTGAAAATAAATTTCAATGATTCATAAAAGTGATAACTAGAGACCTCATTTTTTTTTTTTTTTACTTTTTCAAGACCACCATGTACAATTAAGAAATTGGTAAATTGGAAGATTAAAAAAATGATCTTAGAAAAAAAACAAAAAATAAGTAAAATATGAAAAAAGACATTTTATAAAATACAAAATAAATTATTCATGATCAATACTGATTAAAAAATTAAATAATTTATTTTTGAAACCAAAAGAATTAATTAATTCATTTCTCAAAATGAGATGAACTAATTTATAATTTAATTTGTAATTCAAAAATCTCTTTCATCATAAATTAAGAATTTATGAAAATCCATTTTGAAATAGTTTTTATTTCAATTTATTGATTTTAATATATTCCATATAGCTTAGATGGTTTTTTTTTTTTAAATAAAATTTTGTCTATACTATATATTCTAAATCTACTTAATATGATCATAATATATATATATATATATATATATATATATATATATATATATATATATAACATCAATTATTTATTATTTATTTCTTTTTATGTTCTAAAATCAATATTTTTTAAATAAAATAATTGAAATAGTATTTTAGAAGAACCTTTCAATTATTCAAATATAATTTATTTAATATTATTGATTATTTTGTTAATAAATATATATAAATTAAATGATTTGGCTCAGCAAATAGATTTGATTTATATTAATTACAAGAAATAAGATTTTTATTGTACTATATCATATGAATCGTTGACTTTATGTATATAACGATTATCCGATCGCAGCGTAGTACGGGTATCCAACTAATATGATTTCGTTATTGCAATTGATGAGTCTTAGAAACTCAATAAGATATTAAGAGTTGTGTGGCTCTTTATAGTTGGAAATGAAAAAATAAGATTGACTTTTTTTTTTTTTTTTGCATGATATACTCTTAAAATAAGTTTCTTGGTGGGTTGAGAAATCCTATCCCATGGTAAAGCTAGTAATCGAAAAGAGAAGTAATAAAGATGATGAATAATATATCATTTTGAGAGTTTACAATTAACTAAAAAACTAAAGAA